CTTCTAGGAGGCTGTAGTTAAAGGAAAGGCATATGAAAAAGCTTATATTTGGGGTTCAGTAGGATGGTAACCGTGTAGAACTGTGCTCTGGTTAGCTAGCTGGAATTCTATAGTACTAATCCCATATTTAAATCCCCCAAGAATCGTAGGTAGGTTGTCTCAAGTCTCATCATCATACACCTGACAGTCTTTCAAAAAAACCTATTGAATCATATTACATTTGCTATATTTCAGCTAGCTTTAGGAGTAGGGAGGATTTCAAAGACTGAAATTTTTGGTGCAACGTACTCTACAGTCTTCAATTTAGTAGCTTTTAATTCAGGTTTCTGAAAGCCAGCCAGGAAGCTGGCAGAGAAGCTAGCTGTGGAACGCTGGTAAATTCAGTTTCTGGACTGAAGGAGGAATGAGGCATTTTCAGGTTCATCCACCATTGTTCATATAATGGCCAAACTCCAAGGAAAAGTGCCTGAAGCCAGATCCACGTGGGATTTTAAGCTTCTAAAACCTATTTACGTGCCTAAACTCCCACTGAAATCGACAGGAAGTTAAGCACCTAGATAGAAGTTAATTTCACGGATCTTGGCCCCGGTTCCCTCCATTCATCTGGCTGCAATGCTAATCAGTTTTTCCAAAGTCTGTTCTGAGATTATGTTTTTATTTAAGAACCTAAATGAAAGGAAATTCCTGGTGCAAAAAGCACCTGACTGTACAAACACTGAGATCAAGTTGAACTGTGCTGGTGGAACTGGTTTAAATCAAAAGAAATACTTTGTAGAAAAAATCTTATTCACCACAGCACAGATAACCTAAGGGCAGTAAAGGACACGCACAAAAAAGTCTGCTGAGAAAAGACAGAAGTTACGGCTTTCTGTAGAGACTTCTGTGGAAAGCACTGACTACAGCTGCGCAGGCCAGGAACAGAAGACAGTAATATGATATGGCATAGTTCCTAACTAAGTTAATAAAAAAAAAGTCTGCCTACAGAACAGCTGCTTGTAGCTGGAGTTTGGATTAAAAGAACAGCGGCAGCCTAGAAGTCTGTTGGGTGGTATTAAGAGCATCAATAGGAGGAAAGTAAAGAACAAAGTAGAACTGCTCATGCTGCCTTTTGTGTTCCTCACAGGACTGAGTGAAAAGATGACCACTTTTTTCCAATGGGCACCTCCACTTTGGAGCTACAAAACCAGAATCTTTGAAAGTTCCCTATTCAGAAACTCAAGATGTTTTGAGCACAATTATGATCAGATGATAATAATTTTTCACCTCCAAACCAAAAGACCTAAGAAACTTTCACATTACTAATCCTTTTAGCCACACCACTCATTCATACACAAGGCATACTCGTGTATGTTAATACAAGTTAGTATTGGCAAGCAAAATTAAACCTAGATTAAATTCAGTTTTTGTCTTGAACAAATGCTAAGTCGTGTTTTCTGTAAACGCAAGTTCTGAATGAAACTCTGTTTACTAGAAAACATACACAAATGGTAGGAACTGTCTAAACCTGTTCAAAGATTCTATGTTCAATTATAACACAGTACTAGTAGCAAGGAGGGAAAAATTACTCGGCATGTTTTAATACTATATGCAATATGCTTAGTATTTTCAGAGAAGAAAGAAAGAATGTCAAGAAAAATCTAAATTAAAAAAATTGAAAGCAGGAACAGTTTTCACTTTGATCATTCATGCTTTGAAACCCTCAAATGACTTTTTAATGGTTCTATTTTTATTCTTAACTGAATGACTATTACACTTGTCCTAGACTTTTGAGCTGAGTGAATCTGCACAGCTTTAAATGGAAAGAGTTTTTCTGAGAAGTTTTCTATCAATTTATGGCTGTTTCTCCCTTCTAAAAACTCACTCAACCCAAATGAAATTTCTTTTTAATGTGTGCATTTTCTTGGAAGTAATCCAGGCATAGCTATTCAGTCATAAAATCCAAAATCATTCATGCGTATGTACTTGCTATATTATTTTTCATATCCTGTATAATATATTTAAACACAAAGTAATATTACCACTACAAAGTCGACAGTTTTTATAACATACTCCACCCTGGCCTAAGTGGTTTACCATGACAATGGAGCTAGATTAGACACCAAACACTACTAATCTCCTCATAAATTTAATCTTCATGATTCATGCTTAATTGTACTCAGATATGAACAAATTTGCCTCAAAAGAGTCAAATAATCTTGCTAAGAATGTAGAGGTCAAACACTATGCAGTGAGACACTGAGCCAAATTCGATTTCACTTTATGTCAAAAATAAATGCATTGTCAGTGACTCAGTGCTGGCTACATATTCTGTGACTAATCTTAGAGCACCATAAATAAGAAGCTGACAACAGCTATAAAACTGTTTCCATTCCCAACCATGAATCTCCAGTTCCTAGTAGCCAGTCACCAGAAAACAATTCATGCAAACACATAGTTAAGGAAATGTTGTCCTTATAATAACTAGTTTGCTCTAAATATGACTAAGCAATAACATGTACACCAAATACTAAAACAGTAAGAAAGAGTCTGCGTAGTGTATGTGGCAAAAAATACATGCATTGTAGCATACACCTTTCACTCAGGCAAATTATCATTGAAAACATACACAAGCCACACATTGTTACAAAATAAAGTCTGTCTTTAATTCTGCTAGTACAACTCTATGTAACCTCAGCTCCTATAGACGAGCAGTCTGTCTCTCAAGCCCAGGACTAATATTACAGCCACATCTTGTTCAGGCTTTCTTCAGGTACTACTTATTAATCACCCAGCCCCAAATTTCTCTTAAATGCCAACAACTCACTTTCCCAGATGCCAGGCTTCCTTGACACTAACAGCAGCTTTTCCCCAACTGTCCAAGAAATAAGCTACCTGTGAAGCCTCCTGTTCTCATCTGTACCAGAGGGTAACATGCCTCTTATAGGCCTATCTCCAAAACTTTCAGGTTTTGAAGGAGTCCAGTTTTAATTAGGCATGAGCTTGCCTGCCTGCACACTCCTGTCCCCAGCCCAAGCCTTCCTCCTCAAGCTCAGACTCAGCGTTGGCTGTTCACAAGTTCTGATTTATAAAGAAAGACTAAAGAGAGTTACAACTGCAACTGAGCACTGTATTCAGGTACAGGCCTCTATTTGTCCATATTTAGCATTGCAGTTAAGCTTATCACAGTATTTCTAACTGAAATTGTAAAAAATGAATATGTCTCTGATATTTAAAGAAAGCTTCCTTCAAAAGTAGATTTTGATCCCTGCTGACGGACACAAACTTCTGACCAAACAGGATGGTAATGACCCAGGCAGAACTCGAAAAGCCAAGGAGAAGGAAAGCTGCAGAGCCAGCAGAGATCAGAAAATGGTAGAACTCACAGGGGCCCTGTGCCTGATGAGCAGGCCAATTTAGAGAGGACAATTTTCATATCAGAAATGGGTATGAATGGGCCACCTCACTGCTTAAACAGTGAGGATCTGGCCAGGCTCTGCTGGGATAGGACCATGGTATGAGAAAGGGGAGACATCACAGTGCAACCCTGCTTCTTCTCACAGTGTTGGGCTATTTAGGCCAGCAGGGGGCTACTGAGCTTGTCCTCTTTTGGAGCTTAGTCATTTTGTCTGGAACCAAAGCAGCAGTAGTTCAGCTGATGATAAGGATATGGGCAAGATTCATTGAAAGACATGAGCATCTACAAGCCTAATTGTAAGAAATGTGGAAATTAAAGCTCACTTTGCAGTGCTAAGACTCTGTGATTGGTAGAGATCCAAAGGCTTATCCCAGACAGGTGCATGTCACTCAGGAACGCCACTCTCCCAGCAAAATTTGCAGACTTACAGGTGATCAGGCATGAAGAAAATAACAACTTGAACTCAACACAGAAAAAAAAAAACTCTTTCCTTTGTGTTTATAGGCAATTAATCCCTTTCTCATCACTAAGTATATTCTAAAACAGGAGAAAGAGGAGGACCTCTTTCTCTTCATCTACTATAAGAATTAAATTTGAACAAGGGAAGTATTTGGCTGCTGTAATGAAGCAGGTACCTCAAGTCTGCTAGTTTCATTGCCGTACTTTAAATTAAACAAAAGAATTAACTTCAATAATCACTTACCTCTTTCTGGAAGCGTACTGGCATTGCATATTTGCTCTTCACCATCACCAGCTGATGTTGCAGCTTTTATTTTAAATTGGTAAGAAATATTGGAAAGTAGATTTCTAAAAGTATGCAGCTTATCATAGGAAGAAAAGTTCATGGAATTTCCTTCAACTGTTACGACGTAATGAGTTATCACACCATTTGATGAGGCAGGGGGGTCCCACTGCACTAGGATTGATTGCCAGCTCGTTGCAACACAATGAACGTTCTGTACAACATCTGGTACTTAAAAGATACACATGCACCAAAGGTTAACATTCCCACACCATTAAAATGGTAATCACAGACCAATATACTCAGAGAAGCAGACATAATTTCATATTGACATAATGTCAAACATTCCAATGGCAGAAAAAAATTGATATTGTAATCAAAAGACATCAAAAATACTTCTTTGTCCTCACTAGAAGATATTGTAATCAAAAGACATTGAGAGAACAAAAATACTTCTTTGTCCTCACTAGAAGCTTCATTTCCAACAGCTATGAACATGACTTATGCTAGTGCTTCAACTAGAAGAGACCATCTCTGTGGCTTTTTCTTAGCTGTATGCTTCAATTTTATTTTCACATCTACTCATATTTTCCCCACGTTTTTGTAATTGAAGTGTAGTAAAGAATATACAGTAGTGTGAAGCTTATATACTTCATAGCAGTATCGACAGCAGAAGTTCCTTATTCACCTGTCAGCTTTGTTTCTTTTAGGCACTGTATCATACCTCACCGTTCTTACAGCAGGGCATGTCCTGCACAGAAGTCACTGGGCAGGCTTCAGAGCTGTCATATGAACCTTATTACCTTACTCGTCCCCATCTCTTTACCGGTCTCAGCAGATGAATTTTTTTAAAGGGTCATCAAAATTTAATAAAAGGTAGCAAATAATGTGTAAACACATGCTGAAAAAAGAGCAATCAGCTGTGAACAATTGATTAAATAGAACAATGAACTAAAGTATCTCAGAAAGAGCTAAACAGCTGGTTGTACCAAGCTGAGAGAAAATAAATATATAGTGAAGGGTGCCTCAGACTACTCTCTCTCTTGAAACACGTCCAGGAACCTATAAAATGGTGAAAGGACTACCACTGATGTACCTGAAATAGAACGCAACATGTTAATAAGCACTGCACAGGGCAAAATGGACTTCTTTAAAAAGATTAATTTTCTTTCCAGAGTTTGAAGAATACTCCTTTTAAAAAAATAGCATCTGCAGAAGAAGAGAGATTAACTGCTACTTTTAATAAAGACTAGAGACAGAATCCTTAGATGAGCCCAATGAGGAACAGATCTACTACTCGCCCAACAGCTGAGCTGGAGGGAAAGGAAGCAATGCTACAATTAGTTGAGCAAAAAATCCAAGAAAAAGCTGTGAAATGACAAGACCACAGTCCTGTGGACAAAGTCTCTCCAACACTTCTGAAAAGAGTGCTGGGAACATGGAATAATGCAAAAGAAATGAGACAACTGATGCTTGCCTGCAGCTCTTGGGCAGGACAACATCCAGCTGCAGGGACCCAACAGACAACCTTGCAATGTTCAGTTGAAAACCTGGTTCAGTGACGGTCCAGATTTCTCATGGTGTTCTAACTGCTGCGTACAATAAGCAGTGTAATTTTTTCCTGTACTCTGTTTAATCATCTTAAGTAGCTCTGTAAAGAGTATCTCACTAGAAGTGTGATCTTGAAAAACTGTACTTGGCACAAGGGATACTTCCTTGATACTTCCTCTACTCCTTGTTGGAGGCATAAAAGGAACCTGGGAGATTAAATACAGCACCCATCCACAATAGACCCTTGGCTCTGACAGCCATTATAAAGTAAAGCAGCCTGGGCATTGCTCTGACTTGGCAAAGGAGCTGCAGTTTCACCTAAAAGCCATTTTCACACATCCATGGATCTCCTGGGCTCCCTTTAGCGAATGCTGAATATTCAGTTCCACAGGAAATAATATTTCACTTTCAAACAACTTGCAACTTCAAAAAGCATGTAGAAGGCACAAGACAAAACTGCAATGATTAATAAATTAACTCAGCTGTATTGCACAGTCCTCCCCAGTTGTTAGGAAGAACAAGATGTAACAAATTAAGATATTTAATTGGTGACTAGCTTCCCCTCCTGAAATAAATTATCAAATATGTTAAAGGTTTGCATTTGTTTAATGTAATTTCCAGGTCATTTGCCAATCTTTTGTCCAGCTGCTTTTGGTACTGTTAACGTTTCAGTTATTTTCACAGGGATCTGAATTATTGCTTTGATCTGCAAAGTCTGATATCTATCTAATTTTCCTCCCATTATCTGTGGTGCTATTAAAAGATTTATAGTAGCTGTATAAGCCTTTCATTTCAGATGAGGACATTTCTAATTCTACATTTCCGACACCAAACTTTAAACCCAGCCTATCTGGTGCAATAGGAATGTGAATCCATGTTACACGGGCAGATGACAATGAGATAGCATTATGTTACATTTAATTTCGAGAGAAGAGGAAGAATGCTGTTCAGCTATACAAGGAAATCTACATAAACAAAACTGTAGCTTATTAAAAGTCTAACCTGATTCCATTGTCGTAAATTGGACAGCATTACTGAACTGATTGCCGTTCCCAAGTTTGGTATATGCAGATACACTGATAATGTAAGTGCTGAATGGTTCTAATCCAATAAGGTTGGCCTCGTTGCTTGAACCTGAAACATTCTTTAAGAAGGAAAAATTATTAGTAGACTATCTGTGCAAACACTGTGGGCCTCACCTTGTTGTCACTGAATTGAACAGAAGATTTAGAAGTACACTCTTGCCTCTTCTACTCTCAGCGGCTGTCTGTCTGTCACATAGAGTAGTCCCTGATCTCAACTAAAAGGAATGCAGGGTCACATTCTTCCTTTCCCTTCTCCTCTCTCTCTTTCACTGCGGCTTGTAAAGAAGATATGTCAAAGGATGGTATCGCTATTACCATAGCATTGTTAGAACAAATTAACTCCACGTATATTTCTTTTTTTACCGGTATTGAGAACTCTTGTCACCTCCACACCACCGTATCAAGCTCCTCTCACCTTCTACTTCCTAACTTCACCTCTTCAGTGGAAGAAGTCACATGAATCATAGTTTCTCATTTCTTTTACTTTACCTGAGTCAGACAGATAGACAGACTGAAGAAGAGATGTGGTTGGAAAAAGACTGTAAACTATAGTTCAGTTTCTGGTAGTAGTTTTTCCCAGAGTACAGTGGGTCACTCTGTGCATACTTTGAGAGGACTCTAATAACAGCAGGGAGATAGCTCAATTTCACCGAGAAAATCTGGTGAACATTTTGCGAATTCATGTTATCAGAGAATTATGGTGCCTAACTACGATATTTCTATATACATTGCTCTGCCTTTCTCACTGTCACTACCTAAATCTAGATTCTTGTCCTTATAGCATCACATAATATGAAGAAACTTGGGACATGCCAGAAGCATCTAAGTCTTGCCACTAGTTTCTGTAATGTAACTCTGTAATCTAGGCATGGCAGTTGTGAGGCGCTTGGTTTGGTTTGAGTCTGCCTGAGAGGGAAAGTGGGTGAAAAATCTTTGTGAGGCCTCCATGAGCGCCCAAAGAATGTAACTGCAAAGTCAGCTGGCTGAACAAATCACTCTGTCCCTTTTCTATATGTGCACAGCGCCTCCCACCTGCAGGCATCACAGGAGAAACTGGGGCACATGACAAGCAGTTCATTCCATAGTGGGGAATAACAGCAGATTGTATAAGGGGTAGCCAAAAAGGTCATGTTCCCTCAAGGGGATTATTTCTGCAATACATATATATAACAAGAATGCAAGTACTTCCCTTGCCTGCTAAGTCTCTGGAAAAGAGACTGTATTGCTGATGGAGTTGGAGTAATGAGGCTCTCTGCAATCCTACAGTGTACCTTACACTGCGTGTCCTAAACTCACAATTTACCGCAGAGATGCCTTTTCACTGCAGCCTTTACAAGCATCTAATGTGAGCAGAATTCCTCACTATACAGTTTCTAAGCCTGAGATGCAATCCTGACCTCAGCTTACTGCCCTCACAGTTCATGGTGCCTCTGTAATGCCATCCAAAAAAACAGATTTAAGTGGTGCATTCTTGGATATAAATGCATCTATCAATGTGTATTTCTATGTATAGTTTAACAGTATCAATTTCAGTTAAAATGTATTTAATTATTCTTACACAGCTGAAATAAAAAAGTCCTTTAAACAGGTTTCAACCATTTTTCAACATTACTAGGAATTTCGTTCTTTCTTTTGTGAGTCCCAGGAATCCAGAGATACTAGACTGCTAAACAAAGGTGGCCAAAAAACCCTGCTGTTTTTGTCATTTTCTAACATCTAACTTACACTGAAATATGGGCTAAAGATTAATAAGCTCATCATTAATGAAATACTAGAAGCTTAGAGCAAATTAAGATCCAACCACTTTTTCTCCGTGTAATTTTAAAAATTGAACAACTGGCATGGTGTGAGAAGTAAGAAAACTGTCTTCTAGAATATAAGAATTTGGAGGGGTTTCATAATCCTAGGAGCATAACAGACATTCAAAATATTTTTCAATATATTTTGTTCTTAAGATATGAAAAAATCACATATCTGCCCAAAAGATTAAACACTGCTAAATATTATAAACATACCTGATAAAATATTTTTTCACTGTTGTTTTGATAAATCTTAAAATTGTATCTCATAATAACACCATTCGGCTGAGGATTTGGATCCCATTTTAGCCACACAGAGTTTGCAGTGTAGTTCATAACGGTCAAATTCTGAGGTGGAGCTAATGGCACTGCAAAAGAGAAATGCTCTTGATTTCCAAATTACAATAATCCGGGCAAATATAAAAACTTTTCAGAAGCAACAGAACATATAGAGGTTTGTTACAATTTGTATCTGAACTCAAAAAAATATTAATTCATTGCTATTTTCTTTTTTTTTTCTTTCTTTTTGAAAGAAAATGAATTCCATTAATCGGGAATACCTGTTTCGTCAGCAAAGGATATTTAATTAGAGATCTAGAGAATCCATTAATCACTTAAAGAGCCTCATTGTCAGAACCAAGGACATTTGACAAAAATCATATTAGATATATTGTTGGAATCAAATATACTTTGCTTTCTACAGTACATATGGAACACAGTAATATATATTTAAAATACGTCATTTACCTCATAGATGAGAGTAGGGCCTTGTAAAGGAGACCTGTAGGAATGCGTAAGAAATTCTTCCAGGTTTGATCATTTTTGAATTACACATATATGAGGGAAGAAGAGGAAAATATTGTTGCTTGTTTCAAAATTCCTCACACTTGGCTAATTGTGATGCGTTCCAAAGACAAAGGACTTTTCTCTTTGGAGTCACTTTTAGTATCCTGAGCAGAATGTGACCTCCTCCAGCACACAGAGGCTGGAGGAGGAAACTCAAAAAAGACTTCCCTTGTAGCATTTCTTTCTCTTCATGCACAGACCAGTGGAAAACAAAACCTTCACCTCAACTCTCTCCAGTTCTGATTTTCAGACCTAAGATGGGTGCAACAACGTAGGTCCAAAATTTCAAAGCTTGTTACAATTGCATTTGCTCACCTGACTCATCTGTGTAGAACAGAAGCACAGCAGAAGGACCAAGTCCTTTTATAGTTCTTGCAGCTGCATAAATGCTGTACAGTCTGAATGGTGCAAGGTCTTCCAAGATCACAAAATTATTGGAGGTAGAGAATGAATTATTCCTTTCTGGGCCAAATAAATGTAAATCATAACTTATTATGATACCACTTGGCTTAACAGGAGGGTCCCATGAAAGCATAACTGAGGTAGTTGAGAGATTTGAATATGTTTTGATTATAGGTGCTGATTCTGGGACTACATTAAGAAATAAGAAGAAGAAAAACAAGGATAACCACATAAAAGATGAGCAGCAATGAAAAATGCCTTTTAGCTATCAGTTAAACTTGTGCTTTGAATAGAACATTCTATTGCACGGTCTCAACACAGAAATGTATGATACCAGTTATCTGTGTTACTGTATCACAAAAAACTTCTAAGTAACAGGAGAAAAATAAGCACAAGAATAATTTTTTTTTTTCTTTAGAAAGCTATTAAGTTTTTATACATTTCCTTAGGAATGAATAAAAACTATTCTTAAACTTACCATCTTCATCAGTTTTGATATGCAGACTTAGAGCATGCAATTCAGAAGATCCTTTTCCAGTAGCTGGTGTAATTTTCACAATGTAATCAGTATATTTCTCCAGATTGTCAAAAATAATGCTTGTGTTGTAAGTAAGGAAAGACAGTATCTTTTTGGTCTCCAAATGTAATAAGCTTAAAGACACATGAAAGAAGACTAAACCATTTGGCTGGGATGGTGGAAGCCAGCTTACATTTACAGAAGATGAGGAAATGTTTTGATAGACCAGATTTTCAACAGAACCATCTGGGACTGTGAGAGATAACAAGCAAAAAATAAATGCATGGATGATAGTAATAAAGATCCCAAAACCAAAACAGAAATAAATGCCCAACATATGATTATTTTGTAAACCTCCTATGTAATATACTAAATATTTTGTACACTGTTATTTAAATCATTTATGTTTCGTTATCAAAAGCATATAGGGATAATCATCTATTGAATTTGATCACTGAATGAGTCTTAAATGACAGTTCTATTACTGCTTGTGAACAAAGTTCATGAACTATGTTCTCCGCATTACAAAGCAAAGACTGAGATCAAAATGTTTTATAAGCAAAGGAAAAATACAGTATTGAAAACAGTATTTACTGGCTTTTTTTTAACTTTGTCATCATAACAGTAAAACCATTTTAAAATTACAAAATATGTAATAGCTAGAAGCAGTGATGTATACTGTAACACTAAAAAAAATTGTCCACTTACTATCCTGATCTGTACACACATCTATTATTTCACTGGTTTTGTTTCCATCTCCAAAAGCTGTGCTTGCAGTTAACCATAGAGTATAATGGCTGTATTTCGCCAAGCCATCCAGAACTGCAGACTGAGACACATTGACACCACCACTGCTGTTACCATAACTCGTGAAATTCTAAGGGAAAGAAATTGTGTTAATTCACTCAAAATAAATGTGATTTCTTCATCAATTTAGTTTTCTAGCTTCCCATTTAGCTGGCAATACCACCAAGAGATGATTCACCATACTATTCAGGAGAAATAAACTTATATTTGGATTTGGGATCAAGTCAGGACTCCTGGTTTTTACTGAAATACTCAAATAATTTGTTATATACTTTCTATTATGACTCCTTGCAAGCACTACAGAGCATATAGTTGTCTCTTCTTGCTGTTTGTAGTTTTGAATGCCCATCCACCTTTTTAAAAAACAAATTAGGTCTGTAACATTGCACGCATGTATCCATATCACATCAAAAACAACCAAAAAAGTATTTGTTAATTCTTCATAGATTACATTATCACACTTGTGATTTTATCATTTAATCTGCTACATGAAAGACGTAAAAGGATTTCCCTCATTTTATTCTGTATCTGTGAGAGTAAATCTTACAGGAAACTGTCCTATTTTGAATTAAAAATATACAGTGACAGAGATCTCACCACAACCGTTGGTAAACTGTTCCTTTCTTTAGTTAGTCATCCTTTTCATTAAACACTTGTCCCTATCTCTAATGCAAATTTCTGTAACGACTATCCCCAGTGAATTGTGTTAAACTGACAGAGCGGACAGCATATTTTGCCTTGTGCAGTTAGTAACTAACAACAGACAGCTGTACCAGGACCAAATCCCACCTTATCTCAATTATTAAAAATTTCACTTAAACTGCCACTGTTGGTATAGGTTCCAGATATTCCACTAGGGGGAGGCTATTTGTTCAACTTTTTGGAAACTGCAAAGAAAAAAATTCATTCAGAATATTTATATAAGGTCAGCTACATGACATAACTGAAAGTGTCAAATCTCCAATTGCTACCAAGGAACCTGACTTAGAAGGTCTGTGGCAGTTCTGCTCAGGATTTGAAGACTCGGTTGAGAGGCATACCCTATATGCATATTCAGCTCCAGGAAAGCCAAGGCTTTGTTCCTGATTCGAAGAGTCAGTGTCATTCCTCTCCAGCAGCCACATTGCCCCATCGAGCACTCTCAGGACCAAAGAAGTCCTTCTCAGCAACATTTTCATGGTGGGAGGGATTTTGTCCAACCCCCTGAAGAATTCCGTAGCACACATTTCAGCTATTCAGCATGCTCATTGTTTTCAATGTTACACTTATTTGCACCCTCCATCTCCTTAAAATCAAACCTGGCTTTAAGTTTAATGCTTTCCTAGAAAAGAGGGGCCCAAATAGTAGACTTAACGGAAACAGGAGGAGGGTGACTGTAATGTTTGCATAACTAAATATAAAAATATTGTATATAAACATGAGCATACTAAAACTGCATACCAACCATAGGATATCTTTCTCCTGAGGAAAGTTCCTACTGAAGAAGTCACTGTGACACTCTTTACTAAACAGTTGTGTTAGTACTGTGAAAACTGACAACCCTCTATATAATCGTGAGGTCTGTCACCAATACGTATCAACTAATAGGTCTAATTTAACACTTGACTGAATTTTTTTGTACAGGCAAAACTATGTTATTTCTCTCGAAAATAACAGGCTATATTCTTACTGATTTGCCTATGATTTTTATACCAATATCTGAAGATCTATTTTGGCAGATGGTCACCAGCGCTTACGTAAAATAAATAAATACTTTTTTCAGCACTGCAAAGTAAGCCTTCATTCTGAAAGCAGAACAGAAGTTGCACAAACTGGCAGTATAAACCTCTGTTGCACAAACTGGCAGTATAAACCTCTTTATGCGCACACCTAAGCCACACTGTAAGGCTTGTCTCAAATATTAGGTTAAGTCAATGTCAGTCGACATATTAAGAAATTCCATCTTAACCCGTAACTTTCTGCTAAAAGCAGACAGAAGTTAAGACTATCTTGATGTAACTAACTGAAAAAGGCTGGGAGGAGTTTTGCTTTACACTTGGGTATGGCAAGACGCAGGAAATGGAGGATGACATTCCAATGTATGTAATTAAATTTTCCGATGCTCAAGCACAGTACAACAGAAAAATACCTTGTGAACTGGAATTGTCATTCCTTTTTTATCATTATTAGTCAGGAGATCCAGAAAAGGACCTCAAATAATTCCCTGAGTTTTAAAGGTAAAAACATCAAAGGTTGACACAATCAAACTACTTGACACATCAAATCTCGATTGTAGATTGAATATGAGTTTATCACTATGATCAACTGAAAATCCCACTCATATTTTAAAAAGCGTAGCTTTACAATTTAGATAGCTGTATGCCAGCTGGGCACAGGATACCTTAGTGATCCAACCTGAGTGCTACAACAGAAAGCTCTTTGGTGGTTCAACAGAAACTTGTTTAAGAGGGAGCCCCCTTATTATGGAGAGCCCAAGGACTGATAATCGGGGACTGCTTCACAATTCTGCTATGAAAAAATATTAGAAAAGAATGAGCACATAATTAAGAGTAACGGTGAGCGGGAAGAGGTGTTTGAGCACAAACTGAGAAATGACAAAACTTGTACTGATTGTACCCTGGGTACAGAACACCATAGGAAGCTTTACAATTAACTGTGGCTGAAGATGAAAGCAAACTGCTTAGGATCTTTGGCTACAGCTGAAGAAATTCTTCCTTCTGTCCCCTTCTTCAGCTATACATGAAAGAAGTTTTGACATAGCAAAGTATCAGATTATTGAAAGCAGCTAAGTGTAAGCAATACATAGAAGCCATGAGAGCGTCAGCCCAGGAAGAAGGCTTTACTCCAGTGCTGTAAAGTTGTAATAAGTTATATACAGACATATATCAGTTATATACAGTGCTGCTGTTCTTCACCGTTAACATTTTCCTCCATTTTTTCTGTCTTTAGGTTCATTGTATTGCACTGCAATTTTGAGTTAGGATCTCACATACTTTACTCCGGTAGTCAAGTGAGAGTGTGCTCACACTGTCAGGGCTAATCCAAGCCATCCAATCCAAGGCATTTAATGCACACTGTTCCAGTACTGACCTAATTAAGTGAAGACTTTTGCTTTTTGTGTGCTGTACTGTTCTGAGGCCATCTCTTCAACACACATTTGCACATTTGCAGTGTATTTTAGGGAAGTTCCTTTTTTTCCTCCTGTTTTGGTCATACGGTGAAAGACGACTTGTGCTTAATATTTGATACAGCACATTGCTTGCATCCCTTATCCGCATTCTGAGGGCACAGCAAGCCAAATTCCACTCTGAACTACATCCAGTCCTGGTCACTTAGTTTGCCTTGAAATACAGGAGATGGATGTTTTGGGGTCAAACGCTCAGTCCCTGGAAGAGACTTTTTTTTTCCTCCTTTGCTTAGTTCCTGGTTCCTCCGTCTCGTTTGGCAGGGCAAGATTGTTACTGCCATCTGTATTGAAATTCCTACACTGGAAAGTTTTCTCCAAGTGTAAATTTATTGTGAAAGTCATGCAGAATTAAAATACTTGTAATTAGCACCTTTCCCACTTTCCTATTAATCAAAACACAAGTGTACAGAGATTGAATAAAACAGGAGTTTATTCAAGTAAATATCGCTTACAGATCAGTATTTAGCAAAGAGAAAATTATTTCCATGGATTCTCCAAGTTTTCCACTCTAAAACTGAGAACACTGGCAGTATGATTGCTTCAAGCATCATGCAAGGAACCACTGCACAAAACTTGCAATGTTGCTATTGTAAAAGTACAAGTTCAAACTGCAGGAGTCCAGCAGTATCACACACAAGTGATGTGAACCAGAGGTACTGCGCCACGTCACCTGTGTACAAACTGCCCGTGGTTAGAGTATGTGTCATCTCTTTACTGGATTGGGGTAGAGTAATGAACATAACCAAAAAAGTAGCATTTCCCTTGGACCCAAAAAGCAGGATATAAAAGATAAAGCTGATCTTGAACCTAATCAAGTGCAAGGGAGGGTTTCTTCTACTCCCTGCTGGCCACAATGCCTAAAAGACATTCAAGTTACCACCACAGGCTGCCATTTCTCCTCACTGTACTTCTGGGAATCTCTGCCTTGATCTGATAATGACCTATATATTTGCCTACCAGCTACTCCTCCCTCTCCAACATCCTCTCTTTTTACAGCCTGTCAGCATCTCCCACAGAAATAGCCCACTCTTTTACCAAAATCCTCAAATCTGATCTCTATTACTAAATTCTTCTTCCTGTTGTTCTGGTTCTGAATCTTAGGTTTGAGCATCGCAGGCCTTCTGAATGGAAAGCCACAGTGTGCTTTTTCATGTAGACCTGTAAAGCAAAGAAAGTATATATTATTTTTCTGCCCTATGAAGGTACGTAAATATATATTTTTTTTTGGTTAAAGGACAACTGTTTTTCCTGCAAATTTCTGCATCATGCCGAAAAGTAAATTATGTTTTTTTACCTCAGGTCTTTTGCTTTTCTCCTCTCAGCAAAGCTCTTCACTCTGCAGTTACTATGATCTCATTTTTAACAATGCTATTCATAATAAGTTTGTTATATTTATTATGGTTTAATATGTTTGAGAAGTCTGAGAACGTGTGAGGAGAAGTGAGAACAAACCTGAGATAACAGAATGGTAGTAGTTTCAGTAAGACTTACACATCTATTTTGGGTTGTGACAGCACTGGAAGATGTGAATTTGCTTGAGATTCTTCAGATGGGGCAGTTATTTCAGGCATCTGGAAGATAGGCTTTATGCCTTAGACCTCTTTTATTACTTCCTGACAGAGAAGCAGATGAAAGACTGGGAAGGAATGACTGCCTACAATGGAGTGTCTGAGAAGCTGAGGTTCCCAGAAATGTGAAAGATCATTTACTGTTTTATTTCTCCTAAAGTTAGAACACAATTGGGACAAACACAAGTAAATGGCAAGCTAGATGTAGGAGCATCCAACCAGGCATTATGTATTTTCAAATACTGTGTGCAATATGAAACTTATCAATAAACAAGTGCTCTGCAACTACACGGATATATTTCTAAACTGCAGACAGTTGTAAGCTGTATATATCAGGCTGGCTTTCACATACGCGTTGCTCTGTTGTAAAAAGAGTAATACAGAGTAGCTAACAGAAGCAGGGGGTATTTTTTTGTCCATTTGAAATTTAAAAAAAAAGGAATGCCAAGGATAGGAGAGCAATGTAGAAAGGGCAGTTGCTATGCCAAACAGTGAACATAAAGGCATGATTATGTGAAGGGCAAAGGGAGCTGAGGAGAGCAGACACGAGGAGTGGATCACAAGTTGAGAGATTAATGGTGATCTCCCATGGCCAGTAAGAGACAGATGCCACAGCAGCTGAAACCTATCTTTTGTCAGTTTTCTGCAGTGGGGTGTGATGAAAAATCAAAGCTGAAAGAGTGAAAAATCATAGTTTCCACAACTAGAAGCAGAACTGCTATGAGCGCTTTTCTGTTCTTCACCATATAACATGCCAAAGCAGAGGTAACTTCTACCCATATCATCATCCTTTCCTTGCCCAGCTGCATCACACAATAATGAAACTGAACTCTCACCTTGTTGGGGCAATGCTACTATGCCTTCATCTTCTCTGTCTTGTTCCTTCATTTCCAGCATCCCGGGCAAGTCCAGACTGGTTAAAGCTCTCAGCGTATCAGTTTCACCTTACTCATTCACCTCATAGTTCCACCTTCCGAAAGGCAGGAACAGCCCAAGTTTGTGGTCCTCCTCTAAAACTCCGAGCTGTCCAAGAAGTAGATAGATGTAGACGTTCTTCATACGGTGGGCTTGTTCAGGTTATGCATTGATGTAATGGTTTCTCCAGGGATTTGTTAAGCTAAGAAAAATGCTGCTGGTATAGAACTGTGTGCAAAGCACAGGTTGAAGCTCTGAACTTCATCCCTAGTTTCAATCTCATCAGAATGTGAATTCAGGGCATGGTCCTCCTTGCATCTGAAAGCAGAGCCTGGCAACCACACAGCTTCACAGAAGTCAGAGATCTACCTACACTGAAGCATGTCAGCAGAGATTCAATTGAAGGATTTGTAAAATTTCATGTGAATATTTTTTCTAGCTATCCTCAAACACATGCCTACCTCACACTAGATATATCTTGACCATAAAGTTATGCAGCATTTTTCGTGCATTGGTTTCTCCATGACTTCACAGTTCTTTCCTTTCTTCCATATGTGTAAAGCTTGTAACCAAAAATCTGTAAAGGATGCTTCTTTCCTCTCATGCTTAATAATAAGAATGCCCAGTGAGATGTACAATGCCACACAAATAATTACAAGATGTGCTTCTGTCTTTATAAGTTAAAGCTGCCTTGTGATAAAGGAAATATGAAAAAAATACAGTGATAACTATAAAATTGATTTAATCTTTACTACATTAACTATTAAAACACGTTACTGAAGTCTTTGAAATAAGTATATCAAAAGAAGCTTACCTGTATGAAAATTCCTGAATTATTTTTGAAATAAACTGAGTAATACAGTATAATTCCATTAGGCTTTTGAGGAGGAGACCAGAATAGCATTATGGATGTGGAAGAAAGGTTTCTATACACAACATCTTTTGGCGGATCACTTGGTGCTGGAAAAATAATCAAGTTTTAGCATACCTAACATACGGTTTTGTACGTTTTAGTGCCCAAGAAATATTCCTTATAGATTTGACAACATCTTACATCAAACTAAATGTATTTTTGAATATGGTAGAAAAGTTGCTTCTGGAAATGACAAAATAAAGTAATAAATATAAATGACTTTTTAAAACCCCGTTTTTTAGATATATTTATATTTAGTTGCATTTGCACAAATAGACTTTATTCTCACAGAATTTGTCCTGTTACTGGTTTGGGCACATGGAAATTCTAGGTTGTCCATGCACACTAATGGGTGACAGAATTTGCATACCATCTAATCTGCAGACACAGAAGTTGACTAACAGAGCTGGAAGTCTATGGCCGCATATATACTTAATAGGATCAAAAAAAGGCATTTGTTTCAGAAAACTCAAATGAGAAGCCTATGTCTCTCTTCGCTGATTATAAAGGGAGTTTAGGCTCCCAACTCTTGAAGGTAAACCAGATACTTAGGCTTGGATGGTACGGTCACTTCTGTTTTTGAGTCTTACCCCAGCTTACTGAATTGCAGTAAGGACTGTGTGAGTAACTCTTCAATTAGCCTCTCCTCCTTCTATCCTGAAAAGAACAGCAGTGTACAGTCCTTCTCAGTAGCACAGTGATGTAAGAGACTCAAATTCAGTTCCTTAAGTCAGTTCAAGACAATTTAAGTCCATATTTCTCACCATCCAAAAAAAAAAAAAAGATCTAAGCAGCAAATATTAGAGTACTGAACACGAAGTTACCTCAGTCTCTTGCTTTGTGCTGTTCCAGTCTGTATAAAACAGTAAAATATTAACTGGAAGAAGAACTGTAACTGGAATCAGTGCCTTAAAATTCTTCCCTAAAAAATCAGATCACATTTCCATACAGCTTCAGTAGCAAAGATTAGGAATACCTACAACCTGCTGGTTAAGAAAGTCTTTGGAGAATTGGCTTGGATAGACACTAATCCTGCCAGTGGTTGTGTGTTAAGAAGTCATTTTGTCTATGCAGGAGGATTTTGAAATAAGCCGGCATACTATCAGTTATGGAACAGACTGTAGAAATATAACATATGGTGAAACCAGAACCAGTAATGTACCTGCCTGACTTTCAAAGCACAGCTTATTGTATGACCATTTATAAAAATCAGCTATCACTTTGGAAGTATAAAATCATTAAAACAGAATAAACAAATAACAAATAAATCAGTGCACCCTTACAGGTTTCATTTTCAAATTAAAATCATTTTATGTTTGTGGCACTTTATAAACTATTTTCCCTACCAGAAAGTTGTATCACAACAAGATAGAGCAATAACACTCATTTTACTTATTTCAAAATTTAAAATTAAATTAATATTTCAATCTAACTAGTCTTGCAGGAAAATGCCATGTTCTGCTCAGAAAAGTAATATAAATACCCATCATAATATTATACAAAGAGATATAGATATATATACACCCACAAAGGCACAGACACACATCTACACACACTTGTACAGGTAGAAAGTCTCTTCTTGACCTGTCAAAACCCGACTTTCACTTCAGTAGTTTTATTAATTTATATAAGGCTGATAGAAGTTTAAGGTTGAATGAAATCACAGATACTACCTTCATACTACAACGCATATTATGCTTACCTCCTTCAGATGTTCTGAATGTTATAGCATCACTTTTTATGTTTCCATCTCCAAATCTTGTACTTGCTGTTACATAAGCACTATACTCATAGTTATTTTCCAGGTCTGTGAACTGCAGTGATGTTTCTGTTACATTAACACTCCTTTCTGATGTTTTACTCCTAAATAAAAAACATTTTATGAGTTATATATATGCCATTTTTGCATGTATACAACTGTGCTATACTATATCAAAATTTAAAAGGCAATATTGTAGCAAACAATATTTTTTGAGGCTTTAAAAAAAGACCTGGATGAGTTCTGTCACATAAATTGAAAAAGTCATTTTTGTACTCTTGCATCACAGCGGGACCCCTAATTTTGCTTAAAAATAAACAAAAAAAAACCCAGAGATGTATATGTAAATTACATCAGGACTGAAGATTATTATATGGAATATCAAGGAGGAGCATGCCTATCTAGTAACCGCTATCAAATGATTATGTGGTACCCTTGGGAAGGACACAGTAGGGCATAACTAAACTGTCTCTCTGGACAGGAATAGCGAAATATAAAAAGATTATAGCAGGGAGCATGCCCTACTGTGACTCTGTGAAATTGGTCAGAAGGCTGAAGTTATAAATGGAATAATAGAAGATGATATGGAACAGGAATTAGCTGGTGCTGAGTTAATTCTGGTGGAATGTAGCAGGGGATCAGAATGGAACTCTAGTCAGGTCAAAACCAGCCTAGAAAGACTATAAGATGTAACATTAATAAAATGTTGGTATTAGCATAGGTATGAAATTATTATCAGAAAGTAAAACAAGAGACAGAAATAACTAACTTGAATTTTAAAAGCCTGCTATTCTTCATTAAATTAACTTCATCTTTTATGAAAAGACAGCAGAGGAAAACTAGCTAAAGTTCCATTCCTGCAAAGAATTCTGTGTGAGTGGGTGCCATGTGCTTTTAATGGGATTTCATACAGGCATGATAATTTAACAAGTAAAATGAAGCATCTTGCTCCAGGAGTCACTGTGGAGGTCTCCAGACACAAGAGGAGGAGTCCTAATTCTGAAAAAAGGGAAAGGTTGATTCTAAATTATTGGATGGACTCATTTTCATCCTTTGATATATGAATGTTCCAGAAGCAAAGATCATCATTTGATCCTCCTGAAACACAGTTACATTAGGAAACAACTGAAAAGAGAACATGTGTGTTCCCTAAAATCTCCCAATCCCTTTCAAATTTTTAACAAAATATCTACTGACTGGGGCAACTCTCTTAGTAACAGACAAAGTTAACAACATGTACGTTTTTCTCAATGTTCTGACATTTTGAACAGTCAGTAAAGAGATTCAAGCATTAATAAGCTAATAAACTTTCACAGCGCAAAATATAAGAGGCTGCTGGAGCAGTTATCAAATTCTATACAAAGAAAAGACATCTTTTCTTGGATTTTTGCCCCATATGTTCTTTGCATGTAAAAATGTAGCTACTTATAATTTAAGTAAGAGGCGAATGTACAACCTACTCCCACTCTGACTAATTGTGTTCTCATAACATCATCTTATTCACCAAAAAATATTCCCACAGTCAGGCCAAAATCACCAAGTAGAACAAAAGTTTAAAGTGTTTCAAGAGAAGTTAATTTTCCATTTAGAAAAGTAACTGACCCTGCAGTCAAAATAATAAGAAAACACTAACCAAAGTGAGCGTAGCCTTCACAAACAATGAGAAAGTATCTAGCAGAATAAGATAAGGCAAGGAATTTTAATGAAGAACAACAATACTAAGTTTTAAATGACATCTTTCCGAAGCCCAGACAAAAAAGGTCCTAACCAACTGCATACTTTCACTTGACAAAGGCAGGTACCATAGTGTCCTAAAAATCGTCTCATAGCGGTTTTAGTCAGTAACTATCTGACAAAATGCTGTTGAATATGTTAATGCCAATTTTTAAGCCTGAAATATTTGTCCTGTGACAAATTCCATGAAAGACAATAACAATGAAAAATTACTCATACTGCTGTTTATATTCTACTAGTTGTGGATTCTTATTCCCATGCCATCAAAAAAAAGTTACCAATTTTCCACAACTGTTGCAATATATTTAAGAGAAGGAATATTTAATTAACATCGTTATTAGCTTTCCTCTTTCCACTTTATCAAGGAGCTCAGGGGTTAAGGATGCCCTCTGTAAAATATTGAATGCTTCCCAAAAGTAGCAATTACAGCACAGCAGTTTGCCTTGCCAACTCTTACTAAGCAACGCATCTTATGAAATTATATAGGCAATTATGTGAAATACTTAAAATTAAAAAAAAAAAAAGATAAGGAATAAAGTTGTGGCCCCTTTGAAAGTAACGGGAGTTTTCATCCAATGTTCTTGCCTCAAGATGAGACCTAATGCCAGTCTAATTTTAGATAAGGCACAGTGAGGATAGGTAAGATACAGCAAGGAAAAAACAGAAAGAAGAAGGGCAGGGCTTACTGCAAAAAGTTATGTGATTGTTTAATATAGATATTTAGAAAGATGGTTCTCTTAACAACTTTTTAAAAATAACTCTTACCAGCTCATTCATTATAACAACGTAAGCTTTAAGACAATATAAAAATGAAAAGCTGAATAACTTCAAGTCTTTGAACACAGTCTTTATTAAAAGCATAACCCTTATCATGAAGTAACTGTTTTCCAGCTAGAACACAAAGTAACTGCTTTCTAGCTAGAAGAAAGTCTTTAATTTCATGTTCTTCGTGGTTAAAGAACACTAGACCTTGCCAATGCAGTAGAATTAACGAGAGAAGACCAAACCAACTCTTCTGGAAAGAAGCGGTCACTTCTGTTCACTTTATCATCAACTTACCTAGAAGTTCTAATTAAAAAAATAATTCAATAGGATCAGAGGCCAACTCTTACCCCAAAAATATTAAGTAACATTAAAATAAATGTAAGCTTAATAGTGTTTTCATAAAGACTGCGGACTTGCAATGCAGATCTCAAAAGGTGATTTTCTTTAGCATTTGATCCTGTGCCTTAGTGGCGGCAATAAAATGGTACAGGACAAATGCAATATAATAAAAGTGATCAGCAACAAAATCTGTTCAATCCTGGCAGCAGTTATACAGAGATCCTTGAAGAGATATCAAATCACTAGACCACGCTGTGTTAGAAAGAGAACAGGACAAGAGCTGCAAGCTGGCATTTAAAGTGACAAACATCCTTTTGAGAGGAAAAAAAGATCTCAAGAGGGATGAGAGATCAAACTGCAGGAAAGAAGAAATGACAGGTAGAAGAAAAAATAAGTCAGTAAATGACTGTTAAAAGATACTGGTTTGCTATAAACATGATATATACAAAATACAGAACATATAACAATTCTAATCTCGTGACTCTTGAGTTGTCACGCCATTTGGATGGGAGCTAAAACAGGTCTCATAAATTGCTCTTACACACTTTCTGCAAACGAAAGCAATATTCACCTACCTTCAATTTATTTCAAATCTCCTTGACAATTTAGGAGAGCTCAGAGACTGATCAGTATATAATGAACTAGTCACTTGATTCTAGCTGAAATTTTAATTGATTCACAAAACCTTTATGAAAACATTCAAAATGCTTGCAAAATATTGAACGCTTTAATTTTCACTTACTCCATTATATCTGAATTTGTACACGCAAAAAGTTAGTATTTTAAGTGCTGGATTAATATTCAGTCTCAAAAAATGTGTAATCAACACACTGTGTAAGAAAAACCTAACATTCCTGATAGGTTACAGATTAATATTTATCCTCAGAACCATTTCCAGAAAATCTTACCAGACATAAACTGTGTAATAGAGGATAATTCCATTTGGCTCCAGTGGAGGTTTCCATGACAACTGCACAATGACACCCGACAACTGTTTTACTGAGAGAGATTCTGGAGGAGAACTAGGAGCTATAAAATGAGAGAAGAGGACATAACAGCTTGTTAAACAGTCACGATCTGTGGAATATGCAGCATCCTTAAATAGGACTTTAATTATTTGTGATGGAAAGTGAACTTCGTACCACACAGGTACAGTATTCCTATCAATTCATGTTATAATACAGCTTATTTTCCTTTTTCTGACAGATGATAAAAGAAGATTTTGCACGGTGGTGTTAAAACATCTGTTTCTGTGATTCAACGGAAAAAAATACTTCATGAGAAAACGGAGCAAAGGGTAGGTCACAGTGATTCACCTACTGTCCAAATACCCTGCTGTAATTTTTTCCCTTCTAATAAAAGCAAGAGCTTTATAGGTATGAACACATGTAAAATAAAGCAAAATAGATTCCCTGGGGAAAAAGAGGTGCTGGAAATAATTATATGAAGCATCAAAAGGTGGAAACGTAGATAAGCATGGCAGTGAGAGATGATAAATATGTGGGATGCAAGGCAGTGGTAAAATGTATTTACTCCATCAAATAAGGAACATAGTCATATATTTAGCTTGCCACAAGAGAAAATATAAAGATATGAAATGACTGAGACCCTTAAAATTCATTCTAAGATGAACTCTACATGCCATCATATAACAACTATGTAGGGAGACACCATAAGTAAAAGAAAATCTTAGAACATGTTTGATTTCATTCTAATCAAATTACTTTAAGATTCATATAGATATTGACGAGGAAAAAAAACGTACCCATGTATGTATAAGTGATCTCACTTTTTACTAGCATGCTATTGAGGAAGTAAATCTTTTTCTTCTTCTTGATTCATGGACATACATATCACTATGTAGTAATACTAGAATTATTTTTATTTCTTCAAATTAAACCAAAGAGCATCATGTACTAAAAATTCAGGTCATAGTTGTAGTCATGCATGGAAATTGAGAATATGAGCATAGCTATTAGCAAATCTATGAAGCATTTGGTTTGAAATATGGAACACTGTGTTCCTGTGAATAAAGTACATGTAGTGTATTACAAATACTGGTGTTTCTCAGTTGCCATTCCTTCTTTCGCTATCTTAAAAGTTGGTACAAAAGTTTCAGAACTGTACATTTAAGAAAAAAAAAATTTTCCTGAACAAAGACTCACTGAATTCTATGGAGTCTGTATTTAATGAGGAAAAATGGTGACAGCTGTATTTAGTGTTTTACTTGTTATATTATCCTCAGTGGCTATATAATAAAAGATCTATCAAATAGCGAATGTCATTTTTGGGGGGATGTCTAGTTCATTGTACAGTTCTTATCTGGGGATATTCTTTTGATGAAAAATAGAATCTACATTTCTCTAAATAAACACACTCTACAGAAAAGATGGATTTATCAAAATCAGCCGTTTCCAGTGTGTTCCAGCAACATTAGTATTTAACAAAGGTATATTACTGAGACTGTGAATATAAGCCCATTGCTACCCTGGAGATTTACAAATATCCATTTTCATCAAAAACTGGATCTTTGGCAGGCCAATGCTTCCTCAGATGTGAAAAGAGGCTCCATTTGGGTGAGATGTTTGTATCAATGCAGCTCTAGCCTACGCTCCTAGAGACTTCCTCCCTGAGCAATGGAGGCTCGTCCAAAACGTGAGTCACTGCACCTGAAGCACTTTGTACTTTGAACCTTTCTCATGATCCCCTGTCCAGTAATTATAAAGGGCATTAACAATAACTTCACACAACTAAACTGCGTACTCAAAGTACAAATAGCATTTTAAGATTTTTCTAATCTGTGGCCTACTGTACTAGTTAGCAGGGAATATAATGACTGTTCTACTCTGAATCACACTTCCCTGCTCAGTGTGGTAGTCCAGCACTACAGATGATGGACTTTGACCATTTTCATAACATTAATAATTTTACATCTACATATTAGCATCTGTGCATGTGTTTTGAAGAATTCAAAAATCTCTAATCAAAAGAACCAGAAGCATCCCTGGTCCATTCAAGCTGCCTTTTAGTGTTTTTCCTTTTCTCCCTGCTCTCACACGTCTGCAGAACCTAAGACAGTATTTAATTCCACCATGTGGTATATTAGGTTAAAATAACACTAGTAGATTTAGGTTTTTCAAGTGCATGATCTACTGGTGAGAACAAATGTCCATGCTCAGCATTCTTGTAATTTCACATAGCTTGTACTAGTAAATGTATAAAATAACATATATAGAGAGGTGCATGCTTGAGTGCATATATATATACACATATATATATACATTCATGTTGATATAAATACAGAGATATAATTGCAAAAAGAACATATATAGAGAGGTGCATGCTTGAGTGCATATATATATACACATATATATACATTCATGTTGATATAAATACAGAGATATAATTGCAAAAAGAACATATAAAACATACACATCTATCTGACTAATACAAGACTGGTTTAAAACTATAGGCAGATAATGATACATTGCAACTTTACCGACTTACCATCTTCATCAGTGAGTATATGCACCGGTGCGCTGCGCAGGCCCTCCCCCATCGTGGTACTAGCAGACACCTCTATTGTATATTCTGTGTATTTCTTTAAATCTAAATACAGAAGAAGAATGCAGTAAGCCAACCATTTGGTGAGCCAAATTTGTGTTTTTAATGGAAACCTAAATTTGGAATCCCGAACCATAAACAGAAGTTTTGCAGTGCTGAAGAGGCCCATCACTTAAATTGACCTGTGTCTTGATATTAGAGATTGAAATAAGCATTAGAAGAACTTGAATATAAACTATTCTCCATGAACAATGGAAGTGTCAAAAGCCTAACTATCAGTTTATACTTTGTATTCATAGAATGCTTTACAGTTTGTGCTTAGCTCTATACTGAAAATGTACTAGTTAAGGTATTGAGCTCCCTGTATTAACCGCTGCGTCATGCCTCATGAATAATAAAAGAATATATAAAAAGACAGAAAGGTAAGTGAAGTATTTAATTTTAATCAGAATAAGATAGGAAAGATATGTAGTAGTGTTTACTTTCAGTTACAATGACATATATGTAAAAAAGTGCACAGAATTTAATAAAGTTCCTTGTGCTTCAAACATATAAAATACAACAAGGAGTATGTCAGATTCTATACTGATTGTGCTCCATTCCACCATATTACTGCAGGGCACAATAGGCTGCTCCACGGGATAGGTGAAATATAACTTTAGATTATACCTAACGTATGGTAGAAGGACATGTCCAATCAATAAACTAACCGGTCTGCATCAGTTAATCTTTTGAGCCCTTTTTAGAACATTTTACAGTCGCCATAAGTTCAAGATTATTATATACTGGCCTGTAATACGTAGTATCAGAAGAGTAGTGTTGATAACTCTTTGCTCCGTCTCATTAGTCCTCTTGAGATATATTGTGTAGTTCTGTATGATTCCATTGGGAATAGATGGTGGAAAAAATGATAATTCAATTTCCATGGATGAAATGTTCTTATAGGTTATGTTTTCTGGTGCAGATTCAGGAACTAGAAAAAGAAATGTAGACTTGTAAAGATTCCAGTCAGTTTAATCATTTTACTAAGAATTTCTTTAAACTGGTTAAAATAAAACATATTCTAAATATTTTGATTTTGTAAGTTTCTTTTTTTCTTTTTTTTCTTTTTTTTTTCTTTTCTTTTTTTTTTAAACACAAAATATATTTTAAAATAGGCTGAACTGGAAGATCAAAAACATATGATATGCTTTATAATGACAAGGGTCGGGTCATTCTTTAAAAAAAAGAAAAAAAAAAAGAAAGATGGAATTAGATTAAAAAGCCTCCAGAGCACGATGCTGAACTTTCCTTTTGGCATCTGATAACTATCACTGCAATCCTCCAACTTGGCTGCTGTCAAAAGTCTTTTCATGAAGTACTGCCTTTAGTCCTTAAATCACCCACCATTTTCTTCCTCTTCCTTAGGTGAACTACACAAATTCTGGGAATACTTGTATGGAGAAACAAAGGGAGTTTTAACATATAAGGGCACTGAGAGCATCCCCCCTCCTGGGGATTTGCTTGCTGGGGTTCGGGGGCAACTCAGCAATGGTGCAGACGAGGGCCCTTGTCCCACTGATGACTGTGGGGAAAGGCTCCCAGAAGCACTGCCGGGAGGCTGCAGCCAGGGCCGACCCCCTGCCCCGTGAGAGCTGCTTTCAGCTGAGGCTCTTGTACTTGGTCCCTGCCTGAGCTGTTAGTCCTGCTGCATTGCTGCTGTGCCTGTGGCTGTGGCTGGCTGTGCCTGTGGCAGGCCAGGGACTCACTGACCTAGGCCCCAAGCCATGGGCTGACTTCTCAGCCTGACCTTGGTCTTGCCTTGTTACCGTAGCCCTGCCTGACGATCACGGGGCCATGTCTCACACTGGTTACCCTCACTGGGCCTGATCCAGACCTTGACCCGTGGGCTGACTGCTTGTCCTGGCCTCAGCTCATCCCCACAGAGGTGCCCAATGCCTGGGGCTGGAGCTGCCTCCAGCTGCCCTGCTCCCTTGCCAGGTGGTGGGATGGGCCTTGGCTGGTGAAGTCCTGCCCTGCCACCACCAGCACCCTGCAGCTGCACCATGACAGTTGTTTTTTGTGTCTATCTGTCCCCAAACAAATGGACAAGTATGTTTTCCACTATCCAAAACTGGACTGAGAGCATAATATATCTTATTTCAGAAAATCGTGATTATACAGTGACAGCACAATTTGCCCAATAGGTCAAGAAAGGCACGAGCATGTTTCTAGGACTCACTAAACATTCTTATCAACCTACCGACATTTGGTGAAACTCTGCATTCAAAAGGATGAATTATTTCTGCTTAAGCAATATCCAGAAAAGGAATAAATTTCACAAGAGGCAGAGAAATCTGCCCACAATTCCTTCTAATTTCTTGGTGGAACAGTAACAGAGAACTCCCAAGAGTACCTCAACAGACCATAATAGGTTGTAGTTGACTCAAAATGTTCCATTCTCCATATCCTCCCTTGTTTTTATTCTTCTCATCTCAGAAGATGTTTTTACAACTTGTCATCTCTGTCACAGACAGACATTGGAATTCAAATTTTTGATCTGAGCATGATGGGGGTTAAGGCACTGAGAAAGAACTAAGGCACTTAAAATACAACTTAGATAAAAGACAGATGTCTAAGTTAAGGACCCATAACAAAAAATTACAGATTAGGTAAGTAAATCAATTGGGCAGATGCTACATACTTATGGCATCTGACAAACAAAATCATCAAAAGTAGCACAGTATCTTGGTGGAGCTAGCTCGACGCCTCTATCGTAACTAACGCCTTGTGCAATCCCAAAACTAGGTATCTCTGCCCCAGTTCCTTAGGTGTTTGACTCATTCTGCAGGGCTGAAACACATATACCCCACACAGAGTAAAACAAAGTTCATTTCAGAAAAAAAGGAGCTCATAGTGATTCCCACTGTGTCATAACAATCAAGCAGCTAAAGTATTCCCCTGCCCTCTTTTGAGAGATAGTGGTACGTGCATGTCTTTCCTTGCTGAGCAAAACCTGATAAACACAGGATGTTTAGCTCCAGTGCTACATCTAGGTGCAGATAAAGCAGGCAGCTGTCTGAGGCAACAAACTGCTGAAGACTACAAAAGGCCCCAGAAGAGGATGATCATCATACCAGTGCTACTCGGATATGTCTGAGTCCTAAAGGAACAGAATTTGCTGCTGTTACTGCTATGAGAAGAGTAGCTGGCATATGGATTAGCTATTTGTAGGTGGTAGCTGCCAATCACTTCTCTTAAGTACCCACGACAGCAGCCATTGGAGAAATAGATTGGTTTTCCTGCTGGCTCTCCAGCCTGGCTATTCCTACCAGCATAGGTCAGAGGTAGGGCAAGGGCAACCTTCTCTTCGGCCCTCTAACACCTCCATCCCAGCTAGGTTTTTGCCTCTCTACTCCAGTGAATTTCTCCATGAAGACGATTATCATCACTCCCTGTTCTTCCCCCCTTGCCCCAAGGAGTTGGTTGAGTATCCCGCTCTGTGTGTTCTTTTGTCTCTGACCTTATCTCTTTGTATTCATTTGAACAGAGACCAAGTGTATGCTTTTCTGTAACCTTCCTGTCTGTCTCTTCAGCTGCCTTCTATTCCTGATTCTACAGCTTAAATCAAACATCTGCTCCTCTGTGTAAACCATGATTCTCCACATTTTCCCCAATGCCTCTCCTATTTAGCTCCACTGAAAATTTAATGACCCTTTCTGTATTTTACATTCCTTTCCCTATATTGCTCTATCTTACAATTACTTATTTCAAGTCTCTTCTATGCCCTGTTATTCCTTTTTAATACTCAGTAAGCATATCCTTTCTTCCCAGTCTTCACTTCTAAAATTACTTTCCCTTCTTGGAAATATTTCATTCAATCTAATTGTCTGCTATTTCATTTTATCTTTACCTTCTCCAAAATATTCCCAGTAACATAATGTAATCAGCTGATTCTGCCTGATTACAAATTAGCACTGTATCGATGAATTCTGTATTCTTTTTTTAAAATCATTTGGATTGATTCTTGCCAAATCACAGTTCGTAACTTGAAATTCAAGCCTCACTCACTTTTCAAAATCCCTGCACTCCTACAAAAAATGAAGTTATTTTCCTGCAAGACATGAGAGGTTTTCAAGGATAAATAGTAAAATATATGAAGTCCATCAGGCCTACAACTTGCTCCGTTTCCTTTACTTCTTAATCTTACTTACTATTTCCTTACTTCTGCTTTGTGTATAGATGAAGGAAAAAGAAAGTTCAAACTATCTGCCTTGCAAAACAAATACATATTTTTAAGATTAATTAAACTGCTCTCCTGGGCATCAAATGTCACCATAAAGCAGCTGACTATGGAAAATTATAGCATTTTTAAAAAACTGTATACTCACCAGTTTCAGATGTTCTCACAAAAAGTGGGAAAGATGACTGATTCCCATGGCCAAGTCTGGTGAATGCCCTTACAGAGATGTTATAGAGAGTATATGGCTTCATTTCACTTAGTAATATACTTGTACTTGAGGCATTTTTAGTACATAAATCATTGGAATCGCTGTAGAGAACTTCATAGTGAGTTATGAGACCATTAGGCTGCTCAGGTGGTAACCACCTCAGGTTTATTTCTGTTGCAGTCACATCTATTAACTCTACATTTTGGGGTGGGGAGTCTGGTTCTGCAATACAGAAATTGAAGAAATCTCTGAGATTTTTAATTAACTGAATATAAGACTGATCTCATAGATCTACTACTGGTCCCCAACATTCAGGTATCCTGAAGACTACTGTAGGTATAGCTAACTATAGCAAAAAGGTAGCAATTCACTCGCTTGCTCTCCTTCTCTAAACCTCACTGCTTTTTATCTTAGTGTCTGTATTCTTTCTTTTCCACCCATAAAGCTAGACTTCTTTTTGCATCCCAGACACTTTAGCTTCTCTGGAACTTTTGTCTCTCATCCACTCGCACATCCATCCAAAATTGCTTGTGTTCAAAAAAAAAAAAAAACAACACCACCTCACTTCTGTCCACCACTCACATGTAGACCTTCTTCAAATTCTCTCACTGGCTTCCTCAGCTTCAAGTTCTTTAACTTTGGCTGTTATATGCCCATTTGTCTGTTTTATTCCTAAATAATCTTACTTATTCCACTCATCCAACCATCAAACCAGGAAAGGGAAGAAAATATGCTGCAACTAAATTCCCTCTAGCTTACCAATACAGCTGCTGATTGATGACCATGAAGACCCTAGTGTAAATCTTGCGTGTAGTGGTGTGAAGGTCATACACAAAACAAGTCCAGCTCCAGGGCAGTGCATATTGGCTAAATCTATTTGCAATGTCTGATTTCATGAGATTGCAGCAAGCTAATAATGCACAGAGGTGTTGAAGGAGTGAGTGAGAACTGCACTTATGAAAAAATCAGCTGTGAATGTAAACCCACGTTCCTCGGTCGGACTTATCACTTCACCCCTGAAATAACTAATCGATAAAACTGTTTTTAAAAAAGTAATAAAAACCCAGGTTCAATATGAGAGCAATTTCAAGACTTAGGTCATGCTTATATCCCTCTTTTTTCCTTTTCTGATGATGGATTATGTGATTCAGTTTGTGTACAAATACATATATACAGATATTTCAGAATTTACCTTGAAACTTTTTGGTCTAAAGGTCTCACTATTTTCAACCCTGATTTCTAAGCCTACAAATGAAAGATGTTAATCCTAACAGACCACTACTGTCTGAATGACAGGAATGCCCACATGGATACCTCCCATGTGAAGAAGCTTAATTTTCAACTGAAACTCACTTTTCGATTTATCTTTACTTTAGACTACATGTCACTCTTGGTTAGGAGACATGAATCCCAATCTGAATTACCTCAGGAAAACTGAGTACCAAGTAGAAGTACCAAGAAGAACAAGGTAAGAGTAATTACACACAGCTTTGTGAAAAGGCAGGAATTATCAGCAGTTTTCAGAATAGTTTCCTTTAGGCTTGCATGCATCTCCTACCAGTGGATGAACTGTTGGCCTGAAACTCCACTATGAACAAATTTCTGTCACGTTCAGAGGCAGGAAGTTGCAAACTTAAAGTTTCTTTCACAGAAAAAGACATTTAAGTAATTTTCTGTTCCTGTGATATGCCCTTTCTCCGCAAAAACAATACAGAAGCATGTAGCCTTTAAAAACATTCACAAGCTCCACAAGCTTTACTATTTAATTTGAGATTTTGTTTGGATGGTTATCCAAACCATTTAACATTCATAAATCCCCATGATTTTTAGCCCTGTAATCCTTGGCTTGCTTTCATTCCCCCTTAAGTATTCCTCCTGTATTGTAGCATATTTGGCAGTTGTGAGAGGGAGAAGACAACTGGCCCAATTACCTTCTTCGTTACTTCTGTAAAAATTGGAAGTAACTCTGCTGAAACCAGCAAAAATAAACTGTTAAAAACCTGATGTAAATGAGAAAAGATGAAGGTTCAATACTCATATCTCTGCTCTGCGAATCAAATTCCCAGGTTCTCTTTGTAAAGGCCGGGGCAACTCCAGCTACTGCCCCTGGAGATTTATGTGTGGAGACTGCCTTGAAAGCCAGCAAGGAAACTCCAGAAGTCTTCACAAGGTAGTATTATACCCTACATTAAAAATGGTAAGTCTTAAAAGGAATAAAGTTCCAAAACTCTATAAAATAGAGAATTATACTATCATGTAATACCATTCAATAGAAAAAGCTCACTTTTATCAGCAGCTCTGCTAATAGACAGCAACATGGCTTCCGACTTGTTTAAAGCTGCCATTTCCACATGCTTCAGGAACAACTTAATTTCCATATGATAGCAGAATAAAAAGGAGAAGCTGCAGTCCCAAAGAAAACTGATTATGGTTTAGATGGGGGAAACACTATTTTCAGTGAAAGAACCTCAGCTCTGCAGCTTGCTTCCCATTTGTCCATCGGAGTTGAAACTAGTTCATTTCATTACTGGTCATGATGCAGTTTTTATCATTATTTCTAGCAGTTATCTTAAAACAATCTGAATGAAGACACTGACTGATAGAAGACTTATAATTTCAACAAACATTGATTTTATTTGTATGTTTTCTTCCCCTGCTTATGTACGTGTTTAATCTTTTGAAGAAGTGCGTACTTCAATACAGAAACAAAATCATCATTGCAAATAATATATTTACCATCTTCAGGGGTTCTCACAAAAACATCATTTTCTTCTGACAAAGCACTCTCTCCAACTGTGGTAGAGGCCGCCACTCTCATTTTATAATTTGTATATTTTTTTAAACCTAAAAAGATTAAGTAAAAAAAAATCTCTATTTCTGATGATCCTCCTTAAACACATTATTTTCCTTGTAGCTCATTTATTAAACTATAAAAATGGATACTGTTCTAAGAGTTTTCAATACACATTTGTCATCTAAAAGACAGAATATGTATACTGATATTCCAAAATACTGATTTTGGAATAAATTAAACAGCTTCAACCCTGTAAATAGCTTTAACTATTTCTTTGTCAAAACGTGGGATGTGAACGGGTACACAAAAACATACGGGTTTTTATTCTCTACGCATTACTCTGGTTAGCACAAATAGATGCCTGAAGCCCCATGAGGAATACATTTTCTTCAATTGCTACCAAAATTATTACTTTGAAAGAATAAAATTATTATTAATTTCAAACAAATACTGAGAAAAAAAAAATTCAAGTCTGAAAAGAATTAACAATTTAGGAATGCTTTCTGTGCGGAAGAAAGAGGCTGAGGAAAAAAATTCCAAGGAGAAATCCATTTCAGAAATTACTACCCACCAGCCATACCTAGTCGTCTTCTCCCATCCCACATTCCCTAAATATTTCTCCACAGCAGACAGTCTGGCAGGTGTGTCCCAACCTTGCTTTCACATGAGGAAGTGTTTGAGGGGATGGGGGAAATTTGGTCTACCTATCTGGATACATTACATAAACATTAAATAAATAATTTTGCATAACATATTTGCAATTATCTTTTTAATCAAAGGACACTCTACCTGTCATAAGTAAGCTGTTGTTTGAAGTTGTTGTGTGGAATGCTCTTTTTGTATCCAGTTCCATTGCATAAACAGTATAATGAATGATTTTCCCATTGGGATTTGCTGGGGGATCCCAGTAGAGCAAAACAGAGGAGGAGCTAATATTCTTGTAAGATATATTTTGTACTGAGCTTGGAACTTAAACAAAAACACAAAATTACAACAATGACCAATAAAATGATTTTAAAAAACCTTAAAAAAAACTTCAGTGAGGGAAGTAATATATGTTAACTTATTTTAGAGTTATAATGTTTTACCTTGTTCATGCGTCCTGACTGTGAGAATAGACGGTGGCCCCTCTCCAATAGTAGTGAAAGCAGACACACCGATTACGTAGTCGGTGAAAGGTACAAGGCCTTTTATAACATATGACAGCTCTTCAGCCAAAATGTTAGTGGTATACTGATTATCTGCAATTAAATAAAAGGGAGAAAAAGTCAGTTATTTGTACACTCTTTTTTTTCCCTTTGGATTCTAAACTCAGATTGACACAGTAACTTGCAACTATTTTACTGCAAACAAATTAAATTAACTTTCATAACAGTTAACAAAAATATAAATAAAAGGTTACACTGTGTGTCTAAGTCAGCTAAGGAGAAGCTGCTGTCATGTGTATAATCATCCCTGCTTTTCAGTGGTCTTCTACTAAGTATGAAATTCAGGCAGTAGGAAGAGTAGATCAATTGGGCTAGGTGAAAGAAGGAATGGGAACTAAAAACATGAGGTTTATACTGACTGCTAGCGCCAAAAAAGTTTGGGAGAAGTCTGCTAGGAACTCAGAAAATATACGCTTGTCTTCCCAGTGACTTTAGAATCAGTTGTGGCTCATAGGTTTGTTTCTGTTTTTTTTGTTTGTTTGTTTTCAAAGGAAAGGACAATTCATCTTCCTTACCCTCACAATTATACTATAATATGCTATACCTCAAACAGCTCCCCTCACAGATGCCTTCACAGTGGTATTTTTGGCAGAAGAAAAGAGTTGTGGTCAACAGAACAAAGAAGTCGAACACGTGCCCATAAAGTTTTTGGTGTCTCTATGATAAAGTTCAAAGCCAGAAGCAACCTGACTCCGCTAGTCAAAATTATCTGTTATAAAGGAGCCTCTATGCCGCTGCAACATAAAAAAGTATGGATACTTCATATATCTGAGCATCAGCCTTATAGTTTTGCAAGTTCAGCATTAAAAATGTAGGCATCTAAAAATCAGCAAGCACTACTGACGATTTATTTGTCAATAACTGTAACTACAATAACTACTATAAAATAATGTGTGCTAGACTACAACAAATGATGCCTAAAAACAATTTTTCAGAAACATAAACCTCTTTCAGAAGATCACTAACTTAAGCTGAATAAGGTAGTAAAAAGATTCACATTTGAAGCAATGTACTTTTTCTCTGCATGACAAGGAAGATTCTTGTGGATTAACGTAGTACAGAAATGATCCAATGTACTTTAAACTAGTGGATTAAATTCTAGGCTTAGTTATACTGCTGTATATGGAGGAATTCTGTGATTTTAATAAAGTATATTTAAAAATCAAAACTTGATTCTCTGCCTCCTGTTAGAGAGGTATGTTAAGTCTCTGCCTGTCAACTAAGGCCTGTTTAATGATTTGTAAATATCCATAGTTGGTAAAGAAACACTGTTCCATTGATAATACAGAACAAGTGTACACACTAATGACAACACCATGTCATGGGGTCATCTCCACCTGTTTGTCACCCATATAGCAAAGTTGTAACTTTTTGACCTATTTACCTTCACTGACATTTGAAAACCTATTAGTCAAAAGGCTTAGAGAAATCAAGGTCTCTGAAGGGCTTGGAGATATGTTAATCCCTGACAATCACACCTGCTTTGGCAACTGTAATAACTGATTGTCTATGCAGCTTGGCTGATGGCTTTCGGGTGCTCCTTTCATTAGGAAGAAGGTCAGCTGGGTGAAAAGGGGCTAGTTCCTGCCTGTGTGGCATTCCCATTTGCTTCAGAAGGTTATTTGGCAGTGAAAAAAATCTGACTCCAGCAAATGACCCATTCATAATTTGCTTGAATCTTGTGCTAAAGATCATATTTGGGACAATGACAGAGGTTGTTTCAGACAAAGGAGCAGGTAGAAAAATATCTTAAACATCTTACCCAAAGCAGAGTGTGATTCTAAAGCTCCATTTATTGTAGGCAAATTATCACCAGATACACTTGTAAATATTACTGGGGAAGCTGTTTGAACATTGGAAAACATTTCAGCTGAGCCTTCATATAATTCATTGGCTGTTTCCATTGAATTCCAAGTGGGAGAAGGCCTGATGTTTTCACTTAACATGTATGGTCCCAAAGAATCAATTGCATACTAAAAATTAGAAATACAAAAATAAATCACAAATCTTGGCATCATTAAATCAGTTAATTATTATTATATATAATTAGTGTTCACGTATTTGTGCATATACACATACTCACACTATAAAAGTGTTGGGAAACTGACATATCTTTCATTACAATAATAATTAACTTTGCAAAATACAGTATTTCTCATGAAAAAAGCTCTCGTTTCAGTTGCCTACAACTATTCATTTTAGAAATAAACACTTTGTTAATACTAAGCTACTTAAAGTATAAATTTTATACTAAAGCTGCAACGCTCCCATGCTTCAGAGCAACACCTTTAAATGAATGGTATTACCCTTGGAGCTACATTAAATAAACAGATGTTGGAGCCTGGGAGATCCTATTTGTACTGAGCATATTCCAAAGTAGGGCTGAAGGCACTGAAAACAAGGAGGTTTCAAATACCCTTATTAGGCACTGAAGAAAATGAGTTAAAAGGCGACTAGAATGCTGAGGGGTAAGGAAGAGATGAGAAGTGGAGTTAGGGAGAAAGAGAAGCTAATGAAATAAAGAGGAGAGGGAAATTAAGGGAGTAAATGTTGGAAAAGGGAGACTAGAAGGGAGACAGGTGGTACAGGAGTCAGGAGGACAAAAGAGGTAAAAGATAAAGGCTGGAAGGGGATGAAAGTGGATATAAGAAGGGGAGTAAGAGCTACCATGAGAGGAAGCAAAGAAAGCAGAAGAGAAAAGGGAGAGCCTAGGGCACTGGTACAAAATGGTGTGTAAGCATTAGATCACAGGCCCCTTCAGAATCTAGGCCTAAATCCAGGACTCCAGTGTCTCTCAAAAAATTGTTTTGCTGTCATCTGTGAACACTCCCCACACACACATATGGCCAATTTCACTGCCAGAAAGACATGGTTTTACAGTGATGTAACTAATGCACTTTAGCTGTCTCCCTGCAGACACTGGAGGAAGAGAAGGCAAAATAGATTTTTTAATGCCTAACTAGGTGGGATTAACCACAATCAGAGATATAGCATTAATCCCACCCACATACCAATAGGAAAAGCTACATAATCCCCATTTTCACTAACATTTTGTAGCAAAATAGTAACCTACATGGAAATATCTTTTACCTCTGAGGCTTTTCCACGTATAAGACAACAGCCCTTTATTGCTACTAGTTACTGAGTACAGCGAGCACTGTGGATCCCACAGTTCAAATTCTGTAGATGGCCTAAGCTGGGGTGCCTAGCGTTCTAAATAGCATAATGTTTGTTACGTTTTTCTTTTTTTAATTAGGAAATCACTTTCAATAAACTGTAATAAAGCAGCAGTGATGCTAAATCAAGAACTCAAAAATTAGGAAATCCTAGCATTAAAACATGTCTGTGCAGATTTAATTTTCATCCTTTCCGTGTCTGTACCATGATACAATCTTTAATTATAGAGTCATATACTTTTTGTTTTCCAAGGACCTCTGCCTGGTTTAATGAATGGATCCTTATTCTTTTTCCCGCTCTGTTCCTTATTTGATGTTTGGCTCCAGGGCTCTCTTTAATGTATACCATTGAACTTGAAAGCAAACTTCTTCATTGAGCTCTGCAGCACAAACTTGGATTCTATGTCAGATCCAAAAGGAAGACATCAATGCCTTTAATGTCTTAAAAAAATAAATAAATAAAAAATGCAAGCTTTGGGCACCTATGTTCAAAATTAAGATCCAAAAAAGCCCTCGCTCAGAAGGCACTCAGTCCTGACATCCCTTCATTTTGAGCCAAATGTTCTTTAAAGGTCTACAGTTCTGTGCTGCATGCTCAGAACTGCCGCTGTCTAAGCATCCAGAGCACATTCGTGCGTAACATTCAGAAACTAGACAGACTGACACCATAAGTCCTCTAAGATATTTGATCCAATCGGTGCGCACAGATATCATTCATGCATAACCATTCATGGAGTTCAGCATGTAGTATCAACTACTTAAATTCAAGAATGCAGATGGGGCAGAGATTCTGGAGGCACGTGCCTTGCAAGCAGAGCACTTGTCCAGCCATGTGAGATCTGTGTTCAATTCACTCTTCCATAGGATTCCTGCCCCCACCTTCTCAGAGTCTGCCTGAGCAACTATATGCTGATCAAGGCATCTAAATCTGTACTCTTACTGCTAGGTCACCCTGCGCTGCAAAGAACTCAAGTGTAATAGGGCTAGAAGAGATAAGAAGATTGAGGGCTGTGGCTCCCTGCCTTTAGTAGCTAGGAAATTCTGGATACTTCCTCTCAAAGTATTTATGATCTTCATGTTCTGAAAACAGGAGTATTGGAACCTCTTTAAAACTCAGCCAGAGAAAGGGAGTGGGGTGGGAAAGGCAGTACATACAAGCATTGAAAACTCATCTGTGTTAACTAATTCCATATTCCGTATCCACTGCATCAGGCAGAGAAGTAAAACCAATTTAGCAAAGAAACCCATCCTAAAAAAAAAAACTAAATACCTTCATTTTTCCTTTGAGAATAGTGTTTTCTAAAGTCACCTCTGTTTCTTGCACATGTACTTTAATTCTGTACTGGGTAATGATACCATTTGGTTGTTGTGGCTTCCTCCAAACAATTTTTATGTATGTAGCTTCCACTTCTGCTAGATGCAAATCAGATACAGTACCTGGGACTAAATATTCAAGAGAAAACTTGATTTAACTAAACATCTCAAGTTATCACAAACTTTTTCAGTACTGTCAGCAATTAATCAAATTCCACAGCCTTATCTTTTGACTTGTTTCTGCACAGGTAGAAAGCTACCTCGGATGTTTCTAGCAAACCAGTTACATTCCTAAAAATACAGATATATTTATTTGACATACATAACATATGTATGAATTTGATCAGATCCTAAGATGATGTAAATCAGGATAGTTCTACTGAAGTCACTGCACTGCAAATCATTGCTAGCTTATAACATATGGAACTGCAAGTATATTGAAAATTAAAACTTAATTTTAAATTCATCAGAAATATACAAGAATGAAGTAAAAAAGAGGAAAAGAAAATATAATGAATGTGATATATTTTGTGCAGCTCACTTCTTTAATAAGTTTCAGGTCAATTTCTCCTTTAGATGTACAGTAATAATGATACTGTACTTTACACAGGACTGCCAGAGATCCAGAACTTTTATATGCAATAGAACGATATTCAGATTTGGTGGGAAAAATCTTTTTTCCTAATATACCACAGAAAAACGTGAACTTGAGATTACGTCCACAATGAGGGTTTGTAAATTTGGGATCAAAGTTAAGTCTTTCATGTCACTCTAAAAAGTCTTTGGCTTGTGACACTGAGTTTAGATAGAAGATAAGCAGAGCTGTAATGAGGCAGACCATCTCAGTATATTGTCTCTGAGAGTTGCCAAAAGCAGATACTCTGGGAAAGAATAAGACAAGTAAGTGTAGGCGTTTCCTCCCACTATTAACATTTTAACAATGAACCTTCCAGCAATTAGTGACTGAAAGAGTTTCTAATTTTGTGTGGTGTGGCATAAACACAACACAGAAACAAAACAATGTTGTATCTGCCTGCCTATTACACAGTGATTCCCAAATATTTCTGGTTGCATCCCCAGGTACAGATCAGTAACTCCATGCAGTCTCACACACTTATCGGCTAGAACTGCAGTTCTATCCATCATAGGAGTCTCTCCTGGTGAGCCCAGACTTCCAAACACTGGAGTGCATGGTTCTGGGGCAGTATCGACCACTTGACTGTCCCAGGACAAGATCTCCCAAGTCCTGAGTCTGCCTCAGGACTACAGTCCTTGGTAAAAGTGGCTCCATTAGGATTTGGCAAGGGGCCCTGGATTTGGTGAAAATTAATCAAACATGAGTTGCTTCATAAGAAATATTCAAGGCTCAACAAACCAGTATAGTAATGTAATACTGCAATATGTTATTTCTCTACCACTTGCTGCCATCTAGCGGCTAAGTGAGGGGCATGTAACTTAATTACTGTATCTAAAAATGGTTACTTTTAATCAGTCTGAAACTACCTTTGTTTCACAATCTTTGAAGGTTTCTAATTGCAAATAAATTTCATGATAAAGTATGCCCTTGAAGAAATGGAGGAATAGGTCTACCTAAAAACTTTTCAAAATAATTTTTTTCATTAGCTTGTTATTCCTCTAACGTCTTCTGTGAAAGACTTCTGAAAGTGAACTAGAAACACACCCATTTTTGCTTCTCCAACATACCTAAATGGCTTTGAACGGAAAACTGAAAGCAGTTATCATATACAGCTAATTTACTTCATTGCTGTACGCTTACTTACCTTCTGCAGGAGTGAAAACTGTAAGCTTCGTCTTTGGCCCCACCCCAGCACTTGTCTCAGCACCAACATAGACATCATATGCTGTAAAAGGCACAAGGCTACTAAACACAAACTTCAGATCTTTTGTGCTATTATCCAGAATATAACCTGGAATGAAAAACAAAAAACAAGATTCTAGCTCAAAAATAAAAACAGTGAGCCATTTTCTCATACTGAATATAGCTACTTTTCAGGATGATGAACAACAAAAAGCCAGATTTGTTTATGAAAACATATTTCAGCAGCAATCTCATTTCAAATAATATTGAATGTCTGAAAAAAATACTAAAATACCATCTGAAGAGGTATGGGTTTTAAGAGGAGGGATTTTTTTGTTTATAAATTAATTTCTACTGCTTTTCCTGTGAGAGCCCATTAAAACATTAGTAAATAGCTCATTAACTTCTTATTTAACTATATGCACTTAAATATCTTCTTTAGCTACACATGTTTGAGTTTAAAAATTTACAGTAACACCAAAGCAGATTCACATAGCTGATGGTATACTACATCCCCCAGAAAACCCCCCAGAAATCCTTATTTAGTAGAACAAGAAAAAAGTAACAGTAAGGTACAGATGATTTGAATACACAAGCATCCTAACTCAACTGAGAGCTTAGCTGTTATCTCTCTGAAAGAGTGAGGACAGTTGGTTTCCTCCAGTTTTGGGAATTTCTGACATTAAATGTCAATATATACCCATTCTTACAATGGGCAGACTTTTCCGTGGCAAATTACCTAAGAACTATCAACAAGTATATTAGTGAAAAGAATAAGTACCACTACTTTCAAATATTCATTCTTGATTGCTAGTGACACTAGAATGCAAGTGTAAGAAAATAATCACAGGAACAAAAAGGAAAAAAAAAACTCATCCACCCAGACTTACCAGATGGTCCATACAGCTCAACTCGATAACTAAACTTCCCTGTTACTATGGCTGGTGGGTCCCAAGTCACCAAGAAAGACTTTGCTGTAACGTTGCTCTTGGCAAAATTTTGTGGTGGATCTTCTGGAACTTAAGCAACATTGGAAAAACTTTTGAGCATGTAATAACTTCTGTTAAGAGTTTTCCAGAACCACATGTTAGATGATTCATTTTAAACTTAAACATTAAATAAACTGAGGGAAAGTTACACTAAAAGCACATCTCGCTAAAATGACTTATTTTTATTTAACTTACTTTCTTTTCCCTAGGCAGTGATGGCAAAAGATATCTATCAAGAGAGCTAGGAGAGTGTAAGTAATCTTTAAAGAAAGAGGTGGCAGCGATTCTACTAAGTCTAATATGGACTTCATCATGATACAGATTACATACAGAAGATGCTCAGACACTACTGTGATGCTCAGCAATATACAACTCACATCAGATAAGTTTTTCTTCCATATACAGGTTCTTTTTTCATTTTGAGATGATGTCATATTGAAGGTATCTGATAGCACTAATGAGATTGCTATCCAAAATGCAGAGCTGGAAATAATTAAGCCTTCAAAAATTTTACCTACTTGAGTAATCTTTTCTTTTCATGGAATTATTCACATAAAGTAAATGAATCACGTATTCAAGTGATTGCAGAATTAGATCCCTGTCCTTTTTAAAGGATAACTTGCTGTGTTGGTAAATTACAGAGAGATTGTTATTGAGAGGCAAAACTGAATCCAAAGACAACTAATGGATGTGCAGCTGTTTTCATCTGTACAGAGTAAAAAATCCTGATGTTCAAAAATGCCGAATACCAAAGGAAGCTTATTGAAACCTCTTGACAAAGACTACTGTGAAAATCAGTTTTTTATATACGCTTTGAAGCGTCTAACTGCAGTAAGATTTTGTTTTGAAACTGGGTCAGATAAGGCATAACACTAAAAAAAGTAATGGATAATAGGTCAAAACTACAAAAGAAATTATGCCTGATGTATCTGTGACTTCAATACATCAAAAATAATACTCTGATCATCTGTGCATGTTTTTGCCAATTACTTTTCCCATAACATTCAGTTATAAGCCAACATGGAGAGGCAGGCTGATCCTGTAAGCATCATGTGCAATTTAACTCACATATTACTTTTTAAAAGCATTGTCATTTTTAAAAGCTAAAGTACATCATGGAAGTTTCCAGGAATATTGACTACACTGGAGATAGCCCAGCCATTTTCAGTTTGCCTGTAAAGCTGGAAAAATTCATTAGCTGGAAGAGATAATAAAATTTATAACAATATCCAAAGTAACTAAAATATCAAAAAAAAAAGGTAATTATTTTCTATCAAGGAAACTGTCAAAATAAGAACTCTACCAATGAAGGAAAAAGAAAGCTTCTGTTACTCCTGAAAAATATGCTAGCTATTAGTTAGTAGTGAGAACTTAATCATTCATGCCTGCTTGGTTTTTACACACATATTGCAATATAATTTATATTCATAATGCTCCACTTCAAAATGCTTTAAAGGAGTAGCCTTTTCTTTAAAAAAGAAAAAAAAAAAATCCATCTTTGCCAGGAACACGAGAGAGCTTCAGTCCAGTTCAGAAAATTCTGTTGGAGGGAACAGAAATAATTTTAAAATGGAACCTCAATGAGCTTTACAGTAGGGGCATGTATCTTCTTCACCTGTGTGGCCAGATGGGCTAGCATGACAACAAATCAGTGCCGTTCTACTTTGTGAGCAGGAAATGTGGGATTTGAAATAGATGTGCTCTCTGTCCTCCCATCTGCTATCACAAACTATCACAAATCCATTGATTTCTCTCCCTCAAGACTCACCTCAGATGCTCCAGAAAGTACCTGAAATGCGAGATTTTGGTCACAGGAGAAACTAGCAACTGGCAATGCGGTTAGTGTGACGCTAAAGAGACTCTTGAACAATCAAGACATTTGGAAAAGGAAAGTGGATTCCAGTAATTAGAGATAGACTGGATGATGGTGCTTCATACTGTGGCATAGTGTGGGTTGTTAAAATCGCAAAGCAACACTCCTAAACCATAACTATACTATAAAGGCTATATATGAACATCAACACTTAAAAACTTTTCTCCCACTGAAGCAAAACAAAAATGAGAAAAAGAAAAATCATGAGGCAAAAAGTCTATTAATTCATAATGCCTTCCCAAGAAATCACCAACCAACACTATCATCAGTTTCAGAAAAGGAAGCCGGGCATGACCTAAACGAACATGCAAGACCCACAAGGCAGCACTTTAGCAAGCACCTGCATGTTTATAAGGCAAAGATCTAATCTAGCTGGATCCAGAAGCTCAGGTGCACCTGAGTGCTTCTAAGAGGAAAGACTCACCGAGACTTGAGTCATCTGGGCTTATTCTGGGTGTGCTGGTGGGTCTGCGTACATCATGCATCCACCCACCTGACCAGTCTGCCAAAATCCCTTTCCCCAGACCATAAAGTACTGTACAGGCACCTGGTAAGCAAGGACTGAAGATCTTATCTTTCAAACAGCTGACATTTTTGTTTTCATTTGGCAGAACTAAGCCCTTCTGGATGAGCTTCCTTTCTATCACTCTTCAAGATTTTCTTATTAGCCTATGCACCTATCCTAGGATGTTAACAAAAAAAAAAAATTAAATTGGAAAGCAGCCCTGAAGTTGTTAGAGAAACTATGCTGTCTAGAGTAACTTCCTTTACTCTAGACAGAACTGAAAACTAATTCTAGCAAAGCCATTCAAATGAACGGTGCTAGGAGAGAATTACTTTTCATCTGAAAAGCGCTATGAATTCTGACATATGAAAGGGGAACCCAGAAACATCAAACTGTGCCAGATGAAAGGCTGATGTACTAGCAAACAGAATAACATTCAAACAGAAAAGCCAAAATAACATTCCCCTAGAAACACACCCTTCCAAGACATTGTCCATTACTTAAACTATTATAAAACTCTTGCTCCTGGACAATCTTGACTTCCAATCCTAACTTCTCAGTGTATTTCAAGTAAACCAGAATCAGGTGCCCTTGTGTTTAGAGTTTTCTTTAGCACTGCACAACTTTTAGCAACAGGTCCATTGAGACCACTGTAAAGGAGATTTCCTTATGCTACTTATTTTTCCACAAAGGCAAGGAAGCTTTAAGTTCATTGCCACGTAGATAACACACAGGGTAGTTTTTCAGTACCACACCTCACATGTTTTTCTCTCTCCATCTTTATTATTAGTACTCCTTCCATTGAGCCATTAATCACAATTCTTCTTCAATTACGCTGAGGTTTTCATAAAATTAAGGAAAAAATTATCTGTCCTTAGCTTACTTTGACATCTTTGACTTTCCATTAAAACTGCATTCCCTCTTTACATTATTAGATACATTAACAATTATGGACACTTTCAGTTGATTCTATCAGATAAAATTAAGCATGCAGGTAAGTACAAGTCCACAACACAAAAGACCGATTCAAACTGAACTATATTGAAACATAACTCTTCAGTATATACCTGATTCTGGTGTCCGGACAATTGCACTGTCAATGTAACCTGGTTCAGTGGTAACTGCAGAGACTTCAAAAAGATAGGTGGTATATGGTCTGAGGTTAGTTACAACAAAACTAATTGGTTCATTCCAAACAGAGCTCAATTGACTAGATGCTACTGTGCTTGGTGTAACGGTAGTCCGTGAAGGAATTGTGGATTTGCCAAAAGTAGTTGAAGGAGTGGTAGTACTCCACAGAAATGATTCACTGTTATCCTATAAAGACAAAATATGAAACATGGTAGGCCAAATCCATAACCTATAACTCTAAGTATATGTAGGCCAAAAAGAGGCAGAAACCCTTTGAAACAAAATCACTTAAAATTGGTAATCCTTTTTATACTTCAACATCCAAATTCAGGTTATCATTTCATTAGCTGACGTTGCTAACAACTTGTTAGTGACAGTATTATAGTTCCCTTCATTATTGCAAAAGATCTCAAATATGATTGTACGGAAGCAACTCGCATCTTCATATAATTATTCTCAGATTCCATTCACCACCCTTTTGAAAAGTGCCTTAATGAGGTCCTTTTACATCATAAATACATAAAAAACACACACATATATAATATATATATATATATAATATATATATATGCACATATATACACATACATACACATATATGTGTATATATACATAAATACATAAAGAACACACACATATATAATATATATATATAAAATATATATATATATGCACATATATACACATACATACACATATATGTGTATATATACATAATTACAGCATACCTAGTGCATAAGATTAGATAGGAGGTTCCTGATCCACAGCCAAGAAACCAATTCTTAGCTTTTCAAATTGAACGCTAAGAATTATCCAAATGAGGCATGAAAAACTGGAATTATTTACTTAACCATTTTCTGTGAAAAAATATCATGGAAATTGACCTTCCTTAACATTTTTACTTTGATTAAACTGAGCTTTTCAAGAAAAAGTATTCCATTTAACCTATTTCAGACAGAAAGGCTTTTCTTTACCCAGTATAACCTGCTTGGGCTTCAGTCTGTAAAAGGTTTGGGATGGTTCTGAAAAGAAAACCTCGAAACTTTTTTACCTCTCAAAATTCAAATATAAAACTATTTCCTGTGGCTTGAGCCTATTTCTAATTTAAAAATTTGTAACAAACACTTACATTACATTCTGGTAACCTCCCAGACAGAAGATCCTCTACTTTTACAGAGACATCTTTCACGATGATTCCACTTCTTGCATGTTTCACACTAATCTTGAAACTAGTCATCTTTCCGTTTGGTTGCCGAGGGAGAAACCATATCAGATTTACAGCTGAATAATTTAAGGTTTCAACTGTGAGATTCACGACTTTCCCCGGAGCTTAGAAACAAAACATACAAAAGCAGTGAGAAATACTTTTTCTTCTCAGTTAATGTGTACTTCAGAATTAAATCTATCCAGGTGTCAAATGAGTGACATTATTATTCAGTACTACAGTACCCGAGGCATCTACTACATTTTAAGGGTTTCTGCTCTTCTACTTCCTGTAATCTTAGCTTTTAGTCATTCGAGTTAGACCAATTAATGGCCTGTATTTGTATTTTTTTCTTCTTCCCTTTCCATATCCACTCTACTATCAATTCACTCTAATTCAAAGTATCAAAAAAGAACTTGTACAATTTTTATTTGTAATGCCCCCATTTCTAACTTCCAAATGCTGAAACAAAGAAATGCCAGCCATTTGCACACACATGCAAAGTAAGCGATATGCAACCAGCTCTCTCTCACTCTAGCTTAAATGAGATTTACAGTTATACTCAGTCTTATAATAATATAGCAATTTGTTTGGTCACCTTAAAATTCTTCCTAGAAATATCTACTATCAGAAGCAGCAAACAAGTTTGCTATAGCTGAAAGAGATTAAAGCATATATGTTTGCCCCTTTTTTGTTTGTTTAAGAGCATATGACAGCATTGGGAGTTCTATATCACTTTACCTATGTCACCTTTTCAGCTGGATGCACATTTTTGATAGCTTTTAAAAGTTCAATTAAATTTGAATATTCACTGTAACTGTAGAAATGCTGTTCTTTGTATCCGTGAAAGTTTTCAGGAATTTGTGTCAGAGCATTAGTATCAATCACAGTACAAAGGAATGGGACGAAGCATCTAAATGAGACTTTAAATGCTTGTGTAAGGTAAACATATAGAAGTTAATGTGACTATCTGAACTCTCCTGCCTAAGAATTAGAGCATTGCAGCTCTCTCTCAGTCCTGTCTGTATGGCATGTGCAGTAGCATGTCCTGCGATAGCTGGCCTTGGTACTATGCAGAAAAGGAGTATATTGCATTAAAAATATACAAGTACATATACGTTCACAGTTATAGAGGATCTTCCCTAGCTAAATTGAAACAAATCTTCCAAGCCCCAGGCCCTGCTGAAGTAGGGCCTTATGTATAGAGTTTCTTTGCAGATCTTGCTTTTTTTTTTTTTTCCCTCCTGGACTAGGAGACATGATTATTATCAACTCGTTGAGAACTTGCTGTAACAAAGTCCTTTATATTTAAATAATCATCTCTTTTGGTTAACTTTGCTATTTTAGACTGTACCTATTCATTTTGACCAAGGGGTTAGGGTTTCTTTAACCAATAGAGCTAGGGTTAAAGAGAAAGGTAAGGAGAAAGTGAAAGTCGAATGTAGTGTCAGTGACAAAACAGCTCTGACCTCACATTTGAACAGATCTCCCAGCTACGCTTTTATTATAAGTGTTTCTACCTTTAATAAATGTGTAAGCAAAGATGTATCAAAAAGCAAAGAGCTAATGTTCTCATATGGAGAAATGCTACAGTGCTGTCCTGTCAAACTTGAGTAAGACAAGCCCACTGAAATATCATTCTCCACCAGCAATAACTTGCAAAGCACAGTGAAGAATAATGCCCAGCTGCATGTGGCAAACTTACTACCCCTTCACATACTTGGTTTCATAAGTCACTGAGTTATCTCAGAAGTGTTGGAGTTCTAAGAACACAAATCTATGCAGAGTGATGATTTCCTGCCATTAACTGAGGCTTGGCACTCTGCGGTTTGCACTGCTACAGAAACCAAACAGGAGCCCCAGACATGGAGGGACGTTCACCTTCGCAGCATCATGAACTCCATATTCCACTGACATCCATTTAACCTCTCATAATTCGCCTACTGCCAGCCCTTTGGCCAAGGCTGAATTGCTCCTGCTGTGCTGGCAAGAGCAAGACTACAAACTTGTAAGTTAATAAAGAATATGGAAATTTAGACTGTAATTAGTTTTTATACAAAAAAATGCAAAACATTTCATTTCAGTCATGCATTATACTTCTGACTTTTTAGTTTCCAAATTAAGAAGTAAAAGCTTAATAAAATATATTCTGCGTTGGACTTAGGGCAGATACTTGACTCCAGCACTAAACTCAAGAAATGCGGTTTGACGCCAGGAGGCAGCACAAGTGCGAATCCCACAGCAAAGTCTGTCTTCCAGTACTGGTGTAAGCAACAGCTGATGGTGCTACTTAGGGGTAGCTCTGCTCTCCTCTGACCTTGCTTTCTGGAAGCAACCTACCTTGAACCCGCCATAAGAGAACCCAAAGAGAAACAAAATTTACATATGAGAAACCCATATGTGAACACCCTAAATGCTGTAACAAGCATCTAGGATGAAAATGTACTTTTTCCACTGAGTGAGAGAGTAAGGAAAGAATAAGGATTTTCCTCTAAATATATAAGAATGTGTTAAAGTATAAAAGAAAAAATGTCAGGGATACTTTATCTGAATAAATTAAAGCAGCTTTAACTAAAATAATTAGCAGCTTTATTAACATTACCACTTTCTGCAGTCTGAAAAAGAAAGGGATCACTAAATATTCCAACACCAGCACTGTTCTCAGCAGCAACCTACAACAAAAAAAAAGTTACATTAGAGAACCTATAGGATGTAAAGTGCCAGGGACTACGCATATCTTAAGGATACACAAAGATTCATCTTGTAGAGCTTTTGAACTCTTAAACATAGAAATGAATATGCTTTTCCTAGCTGTTTAACTTACACTCAACATTTAAAAGTGAAAAAATACAATGTAAAAATCGTCATACAGTGTAATGCAGTTAACAAAAAGGCTATGTGCACGTATCCACCCTTCAAAAATGCTGAGTCCCTGTGTTATGTTAAAGTCAACAGCACGAATAACATCAGTAACACTCCTTTTCCTTACAAGTCCCTCAGTTTTATAAGCTAAGAAAACAACTGCTACCCTGTTCCTATTTCACTCCCCTTGCAACTTAACAGATAAGAAATAGAAATAGGTTCTCTTTTATATCCTGAACTCCTGAAGTAGATAAGAAAGATGCAGATAAGAAAGACATGCAGGTCAACCTCCCTCAGAGGAGAAATTCTAGGAAAGCATGTCTTTGGAACGGGGGAAAAGTCAGCAGGTCAGGGAACTGTGGAAGCAGTGTATGCTGGATATGTCTCAGTGTTTACGATCATAGCCTGGTCTCCCACCTGGAAGGGCAGTAAATTGAGACTGTGGCAGAATATGTGGAGGTAAACACAACAACAGATGCAATTAGCCCTGCTGAATATGACTTTCTGACAGTTTGACTCAGTGATGGACCATGGTATGCAACAGTCAATCCGACTTAGAAGGAAAGAGGAATAAAGTTTTCCTATTTATTTTGAAAAGAATTGACAGAGGCAACAAAGGTAATAGATGCTAACAATTCCAACAATGATCGTGAGAAGTGTGTGAAAGAAAAAACAAAAGCACATAGCTCTCCAGCAAGGTTAAAACTGAGGCAGAGTCATCTCCCCTCTGCATTAGCAGGGAGCAAAAGTGTGGCAGCTGTGCAGAAGAAATTGACAGTGCAAACTGCAGGGAAGACAGGGGAGAAAGGGCAGAATTGCAAAGTGATGTGTGGGTCGTGGCAGAAGTGACAGGCACAGGCAGAGGATAATAGCGGCAAAGAGAGTGGAAGCAGCCAGCAGAATAGAAAAGAAGAACATTCTAATCACTTGTCAGCACTACTTTGTGCGCCTTTCACAAGATGCTAAAAATATTTAAATAAAGGCACTAAGCAAAGGCAAACAAAGTACAGAGAAGAAATATGAGGTCACGGGGGAAGATTTGATCCAGGACGCAAAGAGATGCAGATGCCTATAAACACTCTGCTTGATGGGAGAACAATCTGCATCTCTGAGCAGCTCCTTCCTCTACCACACACGCACATACACACACACATACACACACACCCCCATGCATGCACACACCAGGTGACTTCAGCCAACCCTACCCACTTCAGTATCACAGAAAGAATCACCTGAACTGCCCTTATGCTTTGACAAATTCTACATTAATAGCTAATTAAATTACCTGGAGATCTTTGGGGGGTGGCAGGCAATCAAAAATATTGGCAATTGTAGAATATTACTAAATAAATCTAAACAGATTTCCTCACCTGGAGTACTTTTATAATCTTTTGTTATCTCATCGCAAAATAGGCATTGTAGAAAGGGTCCAGAAAGGAAAATGAAAATTAAGAGGAACATGGAAAGTCTCCCATTTGAGATGTGCAGTTTCAAAAGAACTCAAAGTTGTGACAAAAATATACAAAAGTTTGCATGGTAAAAATATCAACTATGCCAATAGTACTGCCAAGAAGATAATAGTTTATTTCTGTCCATCTGAAGTCATTCGTTGTTGAAGAGTTCAGACACGCATCAGGAGTGCCTAATCTTAATGTAAACACACTGCATATACAGAACTTATGAAAATAAATGTACTGATTATGACAGTGGATATTCAAGCAGTAAATACCTATGGAAAGGAAACAGAAAAGTATGATATTTTTATTTCAGGAGATGACACCAGGTAAAATACTTAGGCTTAAGGAAACCAGGCTTAGGCACTTACAGGCTAAATCTAAATGGACATTTAGGCAAGCAAACTCCTTCTTAAGCTAACTAAGTTTAAAATCAAAGTAGGAATGAAGCACCTACATGCTTTTTTGGATTTGGCTGTAGGTGATTTAGAAATTGAAGTGTAATATACAAAGCATATCAGTGGTTTCAAAGATTAAATCTCAGTGAAGAGGGATTTAGATATTTTTGAAAATTCTACCCTTTGCCCTTACTGTCTACCACATAATGCCAAATGTCAGCAGGAGTAGTAACAGAAGAGATTTTTTTGGTGCACTTCCGGCTGGAAATGATTTAAAATAGATTTTAAAACTATTACAGTAAATAAATGCCTGGCTAATATATTTTGTTACATAACAACAGTAATTAGCAAGGTGCTTCAAAAATATTTTATGCATCTATTATAATCTCACACAGTATACAATAAATCAAAATTCAAAATACCAAAAGACATTCATAGGGTAATTTCGTAAGTTGTTCCAGGGTTAAGATCGGTAAGAATTACCGTAATTTCGTAAGTTGTTCCAGGGTTAAGATCGGTAAGAAGAACTTCCAAACTATCTGGCTTTGTTGTAACTTGTGTATAAGCCGTTTGCATCCATGGGCAGACCTCTTTGTATTTAACAATGTAGGACAGAATCCTCCCATTTGGATGCAATGGTGTATTCCACGACAGCAGAATGCCAGCAGAGCCCACTCTTTCACCTGCAAGGAACAAAGGGGGCCCAGGATCTTAAAAGAAAAAAAAAAAAAAAGAGTCTTTAATTAAATTGCCAAATAGCTAGGGAGACATCTTCACAGCTATTATACAAATATTAAATCATTTGTCAGCATTTTGTCAGCATAAACCAATAAAACTACAGAGGACTAATGTACTAATGTACTGTTTTGTACGGTTACAAAATAATTAAATGAATTTTGGAGCACCAGGAACATTATTTTCTAAGAATGTAAAATATGCAATGCTCAACATCTTCATGGAAAAAATAGCGTTTAATGCCATTTTAGTATCTAAGATATTACAGCATACTTAATTTCATGTCCTTTCACTAAAACCATTCAAAAGCATACTGCACTATTTTCCAAATTGGGTCAGATAATGGCTATATTTATCTGAAAAGTCTCACATGCCTACAGGTATGTATAAATTGGGGTAAGCATTTTACAAATAACATAATAGCTGATTTTTTAAAAGCTTATAAATTCTTTACCACTATGCTTTTTTTAAAATAGCTAAGCTAAAGATTTAATGCAACTACTAGTCACATCCAGGGCTGCTTCTTAAAAACATCTATTAGAGAAATTCCTCTGTTCTTACAGAACACTCAGATTCAGTATATTTTTTTTTTTATGGCTGAAGGAGATGAAAAATTACGGTAACTGTTCAAACTCATAACTATTTATCATTTTTTAGATATTACTGTGCATACAGTAAACATAACAAAGCATAGGTAACAAAAAATCAATAAAATTTAAGCAGTTATTATTAACTCACTGGTCACATTTGTTGTCACCGTTCTACTGGCAGGCGAACTGTATACTGAAGAAGACACTGCAGAAACTGTCACATTGTATGTCATTCCAGGAACAGTATTAGAAAAATCAGCCTAAAATATGATATTGATTTAATTAAATCTTTGACCAGGAATCATGAACATAGGGAAGAAAAAAAAGAAAGTGTAAGCCCTATATTACTGAAGAGGATGTTTTAATACGCTTTTAGAAACACAGCAGGTATTACAACAGTAAAGATAGTAGTTTACATTCATTAGCTACAGGATAGTATTTTGCTGTCTTATTTAACTACCCATCATAAGACTTGAATAACATTCAATATTAAAGAACAATAAAATTAACTATTAATTTTATCACAGAATCACCTGTCCATCAGTTTATCTATAAAGGGTTTTCTATATCATCATCACTATGTTATCTAAGTACCTACGAAGCACTTAAAATCCCTTTCGGAAAGAATAAATACAATAACAGTCTAAAAAACTTCCAGGTTTCTAATGGTTAAGCTAGCCTATCTTAAATAAACATAATTAGAAACTTTTTAGCAAGCATTTATATAAAATACCTGTATCTTTGCAGCTCCAATAAAATACAAAAGCAAAACAACCAGAACAGCCATTATTATGAATATTATTATATTTTTCAGACAGTAGAATCAAAAAGTGCTCCTATTTCTTTTTGATGGCTTAGCAGCGAAGTGTTGCCTGCATGAATGATTTAAGGCCAGATCTTCCTGGCAAGTACACAATTAATGAGCCTGTATTACTCAATAGCTCTGCCCTTCCTTTGTTAAACTATTCATGAACCCTTGGATGACTGGCTGTATCTTTATAGCAGACTTAAAAAAAATATATTCAATAACTGTTGTTAAGGTAACAAACTCTGGATGCTGAAGTTTGCTTTCACAAAGTTCGCATTAATGCTTTCATATTTATATCTATGTTAAACAGCTAAGGAAGAAAGCTTGGATTAGCAAAGGATTCCTCATCAGCACAGTGCATAAGCATAAGCTGGCCATCCAAGCACTGTTAAGAAAAGCACATACTTGATACTCCGTAGCTCCAAGATCTAGGATAACAACAGAACCATGATCAGGAATAAGATCCACATGAAATTTGTCTACATGTCCATAGGGTACTCTCCAATACAATGAAAAAGAATGTGATGAAACATTGAAGAATTTAAGACCTTCTGGCTTTGCAGGTTCTGAAAGAGAATTGTAGAATAATAAACATTAACTTAAAAGCATCCATTACAAATACATCACTAATTAGAACTGAATATAAAAGCATCCAAGAACAATTTACTTACTACATGAAAGATAATTGCTAATTAGCCTGGCTAGAACAGTATGTTATACTCCAGTTGCTATATTGCCTCTGAGACTTGACTGATAATCTCCGAACTATGCCATGTAGATATCCCAACTTGCGGAGAGCAAGCTCAGGTATCTCTGCCCAGTACTGGGTTAACAAAGAATCTCTGTACGGTCCTGGTATTTCTGCCGGACTCAACTTTAAAGCTGGCACTATCGCTGTAATAACTAGTGCTATTGTTCAAATTCAACATACAGATTGCGTTTGTTCTGTTACTTGCCCCAGGGTTATTACTCTTTTATACTTTTCATATATTCTCAATCTCAATTATTCCAGTCTAGTGAGTTACGTTCCCAAAATCTGGATGTTTTACTCCAAAATAACCACAATATGTTTCCCCTCAGCACTCCATCAAGCCTAGTCTCCACCTGCTTCTGTCACATCTTCTCATTCTCTTCTTTTTTCTGCCCTTAAATGGATCTTTAAATCTGTATCACCCTCTTCAAGGCCTAATAATGAACAAGATTTAAGCCTCTTAACTGATCATTAAAAATTATCTTTAAAAAATCTACATATCTAAATAATGATAATAGAATTAGCATTAAGTATAATTTATCCACCTGCAAAACTTATAGCCGTGCGTCTCTCTCTCTCCCTTCTTTGTAAAGTACGCTTAGCTAACAGCTGTCCCTATGTATAACTCCCAGAGCATACCCGTTCATGATGCTTTTCGCCACGTTTCAAATTCACCACTGCCCTTGCAGTGTCTTCTGACTCCTTTAGCAACATGTTTCTATGCAAGTCTTGATTCAAGTTATTGCCATTTTCTAAACCTTCTAGTACTGTTCAAATCCTAATATCATTCTGCTCAGCCTGAATATCACTGCTTCTACCCTGAAAGAGCTCCACTCATTTCTTATCTACTGCAAATCTCCTTAGAATATAATATATCCTTCATGTTCTCTTCTCTCTGACTGTCCAAAGTTGCAGAATTTTCACACCGACTCCTCCAGCTCTGCCATAGCATATTCCATTTCATATATTCATATATTAAAATATTACCTTCATATTTTATATTCTATCTGCATTTTTCTGATATACGATTTTAGCTTCTTGCTTTATTTTAATATCAACCACAACAAAAAAAATAGTAATATATGTGAAGGTGCACGAATGTAACTGAGAGCATAATTTCCTCCTTCTATTATACTCTACTTTTAATGTCCTACTATTATCATTAACACTATTATTTCCCCAGCACTCATCATCTCATCTTCCTCTAATGCTGGATTTTATGCATGTAAAAGTCTTATACATACCCATGATTAATCTGAGTGTACAGTTAGTTATCACAATACTTGAAGTCATCTCTTTACCTCAGCTGAATTACTTCTGACTCAGCAGTAAAAGTGAGCGTAGAAATGTCTGCACAGAGATTTCTGAATACTTCAGAAGGAAATTTAGCCCCAAGGGTTATTGCCCTTCCTACTATTATCGCATGACTGAGGACTACTCTTTCCACTGATGCAGAACAAAAGCCTCAGTTCTGTCCTTTGGCAGGATTTAACCACAACATCAGGGATTGAAGATGTGAACCTGGTTCACCTGGGTCTCAATGCACCCGGTCTTCTACAATCTTCTTCTCCGTCACATGCACACGCACACACACCTCTTATCAGCTAGTGGCTGTTTTTTTTTCCAGAACATTTCTGTAAAGAGTAGTCAGAACACTTTCCTGCAAATTTCACCTGCTCAACTTTTGCAATATATACTCTGAGAAAGTGTATTAAGAATTAGTTAAGGTTGAGCAGATATATCAGTGAATAGGAATTGCAAAATATAAGTAGGATGTGTTAATTTTTCTAAAGCTAAGCATTATAAACCAGCAGGCTCAGCATCCCAATGTAATCTTAAGATGTTTAAGGAAAAGCATGCCTTATTAGGTCACCCAAGCAGAATTAACTCTTCCCTGCATTAGGAAAAAATAATTAATTGCAACTAAAGGTACTTTCAAAGGTACGCAAGATATTTTCTTCATAGTTTTGCCTTCAAGGCATTATCTCACAGCAAATTTAAAGACTTTCAAGCCTGTGTCTCTGTATTTTGAAGGCTCTCTTTGACCTCCTGATTCATTCCCCTCACAGTATTGTCCCTGTGCTCAGGAAAGACAAAGGAGAAGCACCACTGAAAGTCTGTCAAGGACTGATGCCCAAAGGTAGACATACAACTGCATGTCAATCAGTGAAAATTTCCAGCACTTCTCAGGTCTCTGTCATATCATCATGTTATTGTGACAGATAAATGTATAAAAAGTAGTACAAGAAAGCAGGAATTGGTTGAGATAGTTCTGGTATCACCATCTTCCTGTCCCTTAAATGTCACCTGCATTTTACATTATGACATTACAGTAGACTGCATACACACATTTCAAGATTCAGATCTCATCCCATTAAGTTGTATCCAGTAAGAAACAGTCCTTGAATAATTTATGATCTGTAACATTTGTAAACCTGCTTAACTTCACTCACTGTGAAAAAAAATCTGCTGAAATCAGATAAGGTAAAATTCAGGTTGTGCACAACTCTTTACAGGATGAACACCTGAAAAATAATGACTATATTTAAAATAGCCAAAAGAAAGGCAGCACACCTAAAGAATTTAGGTTTTTGGTAGCATACCTATAGATACAAGTTGAAGAGGGTCTAAATGATGCATGTCTCCTACCACAACAAACTATTACATGAAAGATCTCTTTAAATTCCCACGTTATTCAACAAAGTGAGATGTACAAAGACAAATGTACACTGAAACTGACAGGTATCATTCCCCATCAAAGAGAGAAAGTAAGACGCCATACAGACCTGCTACAATTTCAATGAAAGCAGAAGCTCCTTCAATATTGTCTCTTAGTCTTTGCAGTGTGAAATTATAAATGCCCCCAGCAGTCAGGTCTGTAATACTGAAGTCAGTCAGTACTCCTGGAATCATAAACTTCTTTATAAAGGTGGTGTTTGATAAAGATGCTTTATAAGAAGTGAAGTTAGTCGTGGTTGGATTCCACGTTAAAGTTGCAGAGGAAGTATTAACCATTTTTAATGCCAGACCACATATCCCAGCTGGTTCTACAGTAAAAATCATTGAGATAAAAAAATTAATATATAGCTGTTAAAATATAACAAAATAAAGTTTTAAAGTTCTTTTATTTAAATGAAGGCTCATAGTTTTATGAAATATTAATGCAAATTTTAGAAGCACGTCTGTATAGATTTAGAGCTGCCAGTGCAGTTATGCTATTACAAGGCTAGAACTTGAATTTACATCTCCTTTATGCACCATGTAGTCGATGGAAGAGAATTCCAGACTCATCAGAGATTGTGTAAGAAAAATTAAATTGCTCATGGCTGAAACAGAATGAGAACTGAATTCTTTGTAAATAAAAGTATTGATTTTATTTGATTAATAAAACTTTTCCAAAATACGAATACATACAAAATTTCAGAAGATTGTTCATCTGTTCACTTAAACACCAAAGTTGCCTAGTCTCAGGGTTTAGCCCTTTTTTCCTTTTTAGAAGACTCCTTTTGGTTATATTAATATTCATAAAATCATGGATATTTATTTGCAAATACCATCTCCATTCATATGTGAAGTGCAGCCAGTTAGAAAAAGAAGTATTTACAGTCCTCCTAAAAAATTAGTCTTCCAAGATTATTAATTTATCTTGCTTGGAGTCTTCTGAAAAATACTAATTAGCATAATCCCATTAAGAGCTGGATTATTCAGCATGAAAAAATCCTGAAGACTTGCCATTATGATGACAGAGTAACCTTCCACTGTTGCTACATACGGGACTCATCCACAATACTACTGAAAATATTTGCTGGAGGGCAACAATTGCCTTTAGGTCTAGGAAGACGATTTGTATGGTGTATTTTGCATTAAAAAGAATCTGCAGACCTAGATCTGTTTTTTCAGAGATTCAGTCATCTTCAGAAAACTAACTGCGGAGACTCCTTGAGCTAACTGGAGAACCTCCTTGAGTATTCACTAGGTTAAGGAGTTATAGTCCAAATAAGCCATAGAAAATTCATCAAAGAAGGGAAGAGAACTATGACATGCACTCCTATACATGTAGGAGTTCATTTATTTTATGATTACATGTAGCTGCTCTTTACCTGCATTGGCAGTCCAGAATCTGATATAAACTTATTTCTTCAAAGCTCTACCATAAACTCTCCTCTTTTCATGCAATATCCCAAGAGCGCTTGTGCTACTACTGCAGAAAATATGTGTTTGCTCACAG